GAGCTAGTACTGGTCAACGGACATATATCAATCCTGGATTACGATCTACCAGCCAGACAATATGCAATGAACGTACTTTAATCAAGTTAGCTTTGAAACCGTCAAAACTTTGATATTCAGACGATATTCGAGGGCTGATGGTAATCGGTCAAACGAGGAACCGTGATTCCGGCCTTTTCTTGCTAGCTTGTACGAAATTCCACCTAGATTTTAGGCGGTTGAAAAATGTGTGCATCATGCATGATATCCCAAGAGATTGAGGCACAGTTTTCACATTGGCTTCTGTTAGCTGGAAGTGTGCCGTCTTGCGAGGATGAGGCGTTCTTTCAATGTCTTCCATGTTGGCTCTTAATTGCTGTACTTGACTAGATATGAGTTGGATTTCTGAATAGCGTTCCCACACTACTGCACAGCGAATGTACGTCAGAGCACGACATGGGCGAATATAAGTGCACGTCGACGAAAAGAGGCACAACGAGAACGAAAGGGTGGACGCACGCCCTTACAGTTCATGGGTTTCCAATGAAGAAACCAGAATTCTTGGAAGAGCTCCAAGCCTTGCTGACAGAGGCTGGGACAGTTTCTCTCGAGTGCAAATGCGTTGGAGTTCCCACACCGGTCTTGAAATGGTACAAAGATGGCAAGGAAATCAAGCCCGGCGACGTGTTCGCGCTTTCGCACCGCAGAGACGGCGATGGGCCGGACGACGAGTCGCAATTAGGCACTTACACGTGTCAGGCTGTCAACTGTATGGGCATTGCCACGTCGACGTCACGCGTTCGGGTTACGGGGAAAAGCGGGTCTCAGGAAGGAAATCTCGGACCTCGCCCGCGCTCTAGCCGGTGAGTCCACACTATTCCACTCAAGGAAGCAAACAAAAAAAAAGAGCACATATCCATGAAAATGTTTTCGAAAACTAGCGTTTGGAGATGTGCGTAGAAAAATTGTACTATCAATGGTCAAGTACACCGATAGTGTACACCAGAGGTTCTCGACCTCTTGACGCCCGGAATTCCTTTCCAAAATCAACTGTTATCAAGTACAGTAGCAACGTTGAAAATCACGCGTTGGGGTTTTGAGTTGCAAAGGCGCATTACACCTGAGTTACAAACGTATTCGCTCTGACCATGTTTTATGGTGGATCATATACGTGTCCTCTGCTTGAGCATATTTCATATACATGCATGCATATAAAAACGTTTTTAGAAGATTTCGCATATAATTCGTATTGTTCTGCTTTTCGAATGAATATTTGTCGTTATCGAGTGGCCGTGAATCCCCGAGGACTTCGCAGAGCGCAGACTTGCTGAAATCTTCTGATTAAAAAAAGATCGGCATTCAATAATAAAAGAAAAACGTGTTCCACGACCATCGTATGTAAATTAATCATAAATAAGTTTGATGACTCTGCTTCCAAGCATGCTCGATAACGCCGATTTTTATTTTTGTCACAGTACAATATGTGCCTCAACTTCCTGCAAAATATGGATAATATGATATATAATTGGGCGTCGGCCAACCCGTTTTAGGAATCCACAATACAGCCCGAATGAAATTTGAGCTTGATGTAAAAGATATTTTCATCCGGGACACGGCAGAACGCAACACACTGATAATCCGCTTCAGTATAAGTTTTGCGTCTTTTATTCATTAGACTCGGTTTTGGCTCAATAAAGATATCCAATTCTTGTTACAAGGCGTAACCTGACCACATGTCACTTCAAATGTGTTAAAATCCTGCCTCTGAAGAGCATTCCTAAACTTGAAATATATATGCACCGTATAATTCCAAGGACTTTTCAGCGCATGTGCATGCGTATGCATGTCTCATACTCTTGAAAAATTCTCTGACTCACGGTGGGAAGGTTACATGGGATGCATGTCATGCGCACATCACAGTGGATGTTAAAATGCAACCAGCTCATTATTGAACATACCTCCGCTGGTAATTCCTATACTTTAGCAATTTTTATGAATACAGTAGAACTTCGATGAGCCGAGCTTTTGAACAACTGAGCTTTTGATTAATGCATTTATTTAACACCTTTTTGATCAATGATGGAATATTTGAGGGGGAAAAAACGACCGCTGTAGATCATTTAGCAAGATTTTATTATTTGATCATCCGTGATACAGTCCAGCGCTACATCCCATAACCTGGACTAATTAATTTTTTTTTTAATCAGCCCGGGTTACAAAGTTTCAACAATTTTCGGCGATACCGTAGTGTCATTCCGTTGTTGAATTTTTCACCTGTTGAAGTAAGAATGTTAAAATGCTCGATTATCTTTGATACTCTATTTAAAGAAATCTGAAATACACATAGGCATTAGTGCGGATAATAATCATGCAGTGCGTCTTCGGGAATTTTATCTCGTTCACATTATCACGAGCGATGGCAACTTTCTTTGTCTTGGATATCGAAACGAGTATGCTTGAAGCCCGTGTGTTCATGCGACAATTATCATAAAACTTCTATGATACATGTATGCATCATTCATACGAAAAAAAAATTAGCGAGAAAACCGCTGAAATCACGAGAAGGCCACAAATAAAGGTGCCTACTTTTTCTGAAGTTGTGGGGTGTCATTGATCATGGAACAGAAAACGCAGCGGTGGTAGCACCCTAAGCGGGTGATTTTACTGTGTTTTTAAATTAGAACGCTTCTTAAGCTGTAAAAGCAGCAGCGTGGTGTAAGGTACAGTATATTGTAAAATATACAATACATACTCAGATTGTGTAAAGTAACTAAAACTTCTTGTCCGACCAGCATGCAGACGTTTGCTTTATGTAATGAATTGTTGATGAAAAATTTCGTAGTCAGACAGTCTCAAAGGTCTGATTATTCTTGGTAAACGGTACAAATTAGTTTAACATGCAGCTTTGCGCTTTTCTGGCGACTCACGTTGCTTTTTTATTTTTTTATTTTTCCGCAGTCGATCGCCTGGATCTCGTCAGACTCCGCAACGATCGCCTACACCTGCCGGTCCTCCACCAGAGCTTCTGGAGTCCTTGACTAACCAGAGAGTCAAAGTGGGAGAGCCGCTTTTTCTGCAAGCAAAAGGTATTTTCGTTCTCTGCTTTCCGGTCAGCGCAACTTCAAACGATAATGTCATGCGCGAAAAGGCTTCGCTATAATATAAATAAAACCGTATGAAACGTGAAACTTGGTTCTTCTCCCGCAAGCCGAGAAGTTTCAACCCTTTTTTTGAAAATGAGCTTCAAATTCACTTCAGTGAATCGGAAAACTGGCAATCGTGCCAAATGTCAATTTTCCTTGTATTTTCCGTGGCTACGACATGGTTCTCCTTTAAACGATATGGTGGTCTGCGACAGTTTAAAATTTTTTTTTTCAGGATCTACAGAGCCTTGAAATACAGTTTATAAGTATTAGAATTTCTGAGTCAGAATCCCCAAACGTTTTTATCGAACCAATTAAAATACGGGAAACCCCTCTGTTCATCTGCTGCCAGAAATATTTTTCAATAGCATACCTGACTCAAAAACTGTTTTGCTCTCCAGCAATTTAAATTTTAGGACGACCCTCGTATTCAGTACAGTATTACTAGAACACAAATTACGATCATAATCACTTTTTCATTGGAAGTTTTAAAGAACATTGTTTCCAGATCTGGGACAGATTCACTATGAAAATCTTTTGAACAGTTCGAAATCTTAAACCTCCGCCAAACCTATGGAACAGGCAAGCGTGGTAGGTAAACATTAGTAATGTATTTCCTCACTGGTATATGGTAAACTCTCTGCCTGCTGTCCATTACAAACTGGACTGGAAAAATTCGCGCAATTTAGCAAAAAAGTATTGAAAAATATTACAGTATATGGAAATCCCATCCGTATCCACCCATCAATTCTCAAAAAGGGATGAAGCAAACCTCGACGAAACTTTTAATCAAGTCTCGCATTATTAAGTATGGAGTAAGCTATATAAATGCCGGAATCCAATCGACATTGCACAGTTTTTGAATTTGAAAGTTGTTTAAATTAGACGAAGAATAATTCATTGGTCCAAAATCATGTCTTTTTTGTATTTTCAGCTATTTCTCCCGCGGAGCCGAGGGCGACATGGTATCATAGAGAAAATCCAGTAGAATCGAGTGAAAAATATCGCATGTCCATATTCACTGTTGAGCACGCAGGCGAAGATGGAGCGAAATTTTCAGCTTTCGCGCTTCGCATAGATGTGCTACCAGCTGAAGTAGGCGACGAAGGCGACTGGAAATGTGAAATCCACAACGACGGTGGTAAAGTCGACACCACCTGTAACGTTCGACTGGCAGGTCCGTCGACTATTCACTCCACTTGGCGTTTAAAAGCACCTCTAATATTTTCGTGGTTTGCAGTGCCAAAGAATTATCGTCCTCCAAGATTTTTGGAAGAGTTGAAAGCCATGTTAACCGAGGAAGGGCTGGTATCCTTCGAGTGTAAAGTAGTTGGCTTTCCCACACCCACACTGCGATGGTACAAAGACGGACACGAGCTCAAACCGGGAGATGTTTACCAGCTCTCAGGGACCAATTCACTCGGTAGATTCAGCATCACGTCATTGAATTCCGTCAGGATATTATTTTTTTTCTGGAAAAACTATTTCAGGACATTATGCGTGCGTTGCAAAAAATTGTATGGGGATTGCCAGAAGCGAAGCGGAACTCACGATTGCAGACATTGAGGCTCAACTTACGGAGGAGGAAATGAAAGAGGCTGTGGCAACCGTGTCAGCAACCACAACTACGGGACCTGCAGAACCACCTGTTTTCAAAGTTGGTCTCCGTGACGTGGAAGCTAAACTGAGCGAACTTCTACAATTGACTGTCCAAGGTGTGTCGCGAAAACCGCTGATCCATCGTATACTTGAATGCAGCGAGCGACCATCGTCTTGATTTTTATGCAGTTGATGTGAGCAGGTTCCAGCCCAAGCAAGTCATCTGGTATCACGAAGGAGAGGAAATCATCCCATCAGGGAAGTTTTCCGTGTTTCAGGAAGTGGATGGCATTTTCCAGTTGGAGGTCAGCTCAGCGGAGATCAACGACCAGGTGAAACTGTGTAACGAATTAATCTTTCTGTTGATTTTGAGTCTACAGCATGGCTTGGGAAATACTTTTCTTTTGGTGGATCATTTCAATTTTTTCCTCAGGGCACCTGGAAATGCGCGGCAGTCAACGACATCGGCGAGAGGACAACTTCTTGCCATGTTGCCATGACCATTCCAAAGCACTACAAGAAGCCGCGGTTTCTAGAACCACTCCGTGCTGTCTTGTCAGAAGAAGGCACAGTTAATTTAGAATGCAAAGCAAGTGTTTTTCTCATCAGTTTCTCGTAAATTTATCCGTATATCCCCATGGCTCCTTTTTCTAACAAAAAGCTATTCCATCGCGGTTGAAACGAACTATATTTTAGGTTATCGGAGTACCTCAGCCGATCCTGAAGTGGTTCAAAGATAACGAGGAGCTACGTGCAGGTGACATTCACCGAATAATGTCTGGTCAAGATGGTACATGTTGTTTGGGAACATATACTTGCGTCGCAAGCAACTGCATGGGCAGTGCGTCTTCGTCTGCTGCATTGCTTGGATTCGAAGGTGAGAGAAGAGTTCCACAGAGGCCTTTTACTTCGAATAAAAATTGATTGCTTCTTCAGTATTCTTTGGCATAACGTGATGAAACAAAATTACTGATTTCGAGCAACAAATCTTCGAATTAGATCGTGTGATTTTGTAAATTGATCGAGCATTAAATGGTCTCGATAAACGAAGCGACGAACCGAAAAGCATGTTGCACCGAATCGGCGATATGCATTCGAGTATTATTAAATTTCAAGTAATTTACAGTGCACTCTCCATTCGCGCCTGAAATCGTGCCATCAATGAAGCGTTTATGCACCATGAAACAGTTTTCCGCTCGCATTTCTTTGTGAAGAGAACCGATTTTTTAATTCCAGAAAGCTGAATAATTGCACCTTCCGCAGGATAACCTTGATTATCCAGCCGAATGACGGTGTGACTGTGTGACTGCGCCAGGATGATCGAATATCACGGATAATATAATATTTGAAATACCGTATACAGTACTTGATATTAAAAAAAATTACGCTATCATGATGCGACCGAAATTACCGCAAATCTTGATGAGCCAAAATTTTTAGAAAAATAATCCTTGAAAAGTTTGTGATTTTTTGTGTTACTTTGTACTTGCTTCTTCTGAGATCCTAAATTTATTTTTTCAAAATGTATTCAGTTTCTGATATCTGTCACAGTATTTTTTTAACTTATACGAGTGCTGGTCCATTTTCTCGCATCAAGTTGAAGCTGATCTGAGAAAATAGAACAGCTTAAATTAATAATCCATAGACGCTTGACCTTTCTCCAAACACAGCTATTATTTCTGCCTGATTAATTATGTACGGTCAACCTGAGCCTGAAAAATCATCGATAAGATTCCGATCTATTTCAATCATATAGAGCGATTGCCTCCTCGGGAATTGGAACCAGAGCAACCCGCTGGCAAACGACCGTCGATCGATGATCACATTAGAGTTACACGCCATCCATCTTTGTCAACCATCAACGAGGAGAGGTCATCGCAAATTGGCACAGGAAGCTTTTACGAAACTCCAATGTCTGACATTTCATCAAGTGCGACCCACGATGGTGCTCCTGAAGACGAAGAAAAAGCAGAACTGTCGGTGTCCATCGATGGCCGTGATGTGTCTGTTTCCGTTTCACTATACGAAACCCCCGATATCAGTGAACTCGACGCGCAGAAAATCGTGGAAATTTTTGCTGATGAGTTGTCGGAATACATTTCGGGTAAGACAAACATTTCTTGCAAAACCGGAGATGAAAAAAAACGAAACTTCTGTTCATACAGCAAAAGAGGTCATCAACTTGTCGCCGTTGCGGTTTGTGAAAGAGGTGGCTACTTCCGGAAATATCCTGATGGAGGCCACCGTCGTGGACATGCCCGGCCACTGGAGTGCACCTGCTGTCACAATTTCCGAATTCACGCAATGCGCAGACGATCTCTGTACAGAAGCCGATATCGACGAACTGAGTGCGATGGAGGCCATAATGATTGAAGATGTGAGGGCCAATCAGTTGTTTGACACGATGAACACCCTCAACGACTAGACTTTTCCACTGTCTGCATGGCCGCTAAAACTGCTAAACCCGCGAACTTTTCATGGGAACGAATATAAAATCTAGTCTAGTGTCAGCTCTGTCAACGATAAATTAGTCTCCAGATTTGGTTTTAATGGGTATGCGTTATTTGGCACGTGCTTTCATCTACGAATAATGTACGGCGTGAAAATTGATGCACTCTCAGAAAAAAATTCTGTTAGATCCACTAATCTAATAGAACCATATTCACTTCCCTTAAACTTACTTAGTCGTTGACTGTATTGTGATTCGTATGCTTGTTCAGGACCACTGCGGGTATAGGATCATAGTTTCTCACAGGTCATAGTTTTTCATTTTGTAGTGAAACTTGGGTTCATTGTACGGGATATCGTCCATTTGAGGAGTCATTTTTGGGGAGATATGGTTGGGTTCGCTGAAACGATTGTTTGTCATACCCGTATGATGAAAATGCTCGTTGTGTGAGGCACCTTAATTAGTAACACACTCACTTCGTTCGCCTGTGAGATACAGTGAGAGAAGAAGCTAAAAATCTAAAGAGCGGGATTTGTCCGAATGTTCAAAATGACGTGCACATCTGTTTCTCGAAATAGCTCAAAATACCTTATGTCTGTAAAAAAAAAGAAACTCTAGTTCTTACTGGGCAGGCATTGTTCTAATCCTCGGGTTGATCAAAACTTGTATAGCCTTCACAAGTTTTTGACAGCACGCTTGGTTCCCGATAGTCATAAATATCGTGTTGAAGATGGAGCCAGGTAAGAGAATATTGATAGGGACTTGGCCAAATTTTTCTACTTAATTTGACCGACAGAAAGCGGGAGCGCGCGCTTCGTGTAAAATTACAAATTTTATATGAGTTGGCAGAAAATGTTCGTAATTTTAATTGTGAAATAATGTTTCACGTCTTGCAAATAAGCGTGTACTATGGTAAACGAGCAAATACGGATACTAAATAATTTAATGAATCCACTCTTTCTTTGCGGTTTGCGTTAATTTCTTATCCGTATTTTGTCGATGCAGTTCGAAGGGGCCGCGAGTCACCTGGAAACACTGAGGGAAACCACTGCGAAGGGCTCCGTCACGTCGATCGTCGTTCAAGACCCGAGACCTTCGCTGAGTTCCGAAGACTGGTCAACCAGCCTCGAGATCCCAGTCAGCGAGTCCCAATTAGGCGACACGAAACTGCAGCGACAGAGCCAGTCCCGCAGTTCCCGCAAGCGCATCGAGTCTCTGCTCAACACAGCGCTCGAAGATCAGCAGCGTTACATGAGCACCGAACTCGGGGTCCGCAGGGGCTCTGAACAGAAGTCGACCGAGGAAACACTGGTCGAGAACCTCGCGAAACAGAAGTCGCATTCCAAGAAAACTGAAATCCCGGGGATCAGACCCAATCAAGCCCGAGAGCTGGAACAAGAGGACCGGGCGACGGAGGAAGAAGTCGACACGATTTCCGACGTCAGTTTCGCGTTTGACGACGCCGTGGCGAGTGCATCCGCTATCGCCTCCTTCAAAGAAGCTTTGCAAATCGAGGACGTGAATGAAGAAAACGCAGCTGATTTGTTTGCCCGTGAGGAAACTCCCGTAATGGACTTGGCCAGCTTGCGAGATGTCTCTTCGCGGCATACCGCTGCAATTCAGCAACCTGAAATAATGGCTGCATGCGTTTCAGACAGTACCACTCGAGGTATTGACCACGGGATCGAAGCAACACCCTTAGACCCACAATCACCCGTATCAGAAATGGAGTTTTGCATTTTTGAGCTTTCCGTATCTGCATCGAAAGAGCAAATATATTTACCCCAAGATGACCCTAGGGTCGAAGAGGCCAGCAGTATATCTGAAGGAGTAGGTTTCCCCCTTATACCTGCGTCTCCTCCCATGGAAATAGAAGAGCTTGATAGTTCCTTATCTTGTGGTGAGGTTGATTTTGCTGCGATTGATAGAAAGTACCAACGGTTGCAAACCATATCCGAAGCGGAGGAAATTTCAGAGGCTCCCGTTGGTGACTTTGCATCCGTAGTGAGTCAAATTGCACATCAGGAACGCGGAGAAGAGAACAGCACAATAACTCGGTTGGATGAATGCATGATGGTCGTTGGAGGTAGTGGCTCATAGATCGTTGCTCTTTACCTTGACCCGAAGCGATGCTTAAATTTAACTTTTTCATTTCTTATTCAGGTGATTATGAAGACATCGAGAAACGACAACTGAGCAAATCATTTTCAAAGGAAACCGATTTAACCAAAACATCTGAGCATAGTCATAAGGACGCTACTGATGACTTCGCGAGTAAGAAAAACGAATCTGGAGCTCTGATTGATCAATCTGGAAAAATTTCGGAAAAGTTATCCCCGGGACAAACAAAGCCGAAAGAAGAAAAAAAAGTGACCGACGATAAATCGGAAATTGAGCCGCTCAAAGAAGGAGAAACAGAAAAAGGTCGCAAAGAAATTGAGAAAGAAAAGTTGGAAGCCAGAAAAAGTGCATCAACAAGAAGTGAGAAGGATGGAATCAATTCAGAAAAAGATGTAAAAATTCACGCAGAAGATGTGGATGCGATAAGTAAAGGGGTAAAAAGCGTAGAGCAGCATGTGGACGAGAAGGCTCGAGAGGAAAAGGAAGAACGAGAGAAAAAAGCCGGGAAGGAGAAGACAAATGAAGAGGTGATGAAGACAACGACTCAAGAAGAGTCGAAGAGGAAGGAGAAAGAAGAGGAGGAGAAAGCCAGGAAAAATGCAGAATACAAAGAAAGGATCGCAGCAGAGGAGAAAGCGAGGAAGGAAAAGGAAGATCAGAACGCTGCAGAGGAAAGAGAACAAAAGCGGACAGATGACGAAGCGATGAAAAAACTGGCCGAGGAGAGGGCCCAGAAGGTGAAAGAAGAAGAGATAAAACTAGCCGAAGAGAAGGAAAGAAAGCAGAAGGAAGCAGATGAGAAAAAAGCCGCAGAAGAAAAAGCGAAAAAACAAAAGCAGGAAGAAGATCGAAAGGCTGCAGAAGAAAGTGCAAGAAAACTGAAAGAAGAAAAAGAGAAAAAAGATGCAGAAGCAAGAGCCAAGATGCAGAAAGAAGAGGATGAGAAAAAAGCAGCTGAAGCAAAGGCCAAAAGACTGAAAGAAGAGGAAGAGAAAAAAGCGGCTGAAGCCAAGGTCAAGAAACAAAAAGAAGAGGAAGAGAAAAAAGCAGCTGAAGCCAAGGCTAAGAAACAGAAAGAAGAAGATGAGAAGAAAGCAGCTGAGGAAAAAGCTGTAAAGCAAGAGGAAGAGAGAAAAGCTGCTGAAGCAAAGAAACGGAGAGAAGATGAAGAGAAGAAAGCTGCGGAAGCAAAAGCAAAGAAACAGAGAGAAGATGAAGAGAAGAAAGCAGCTGAAGAAAAAGCTAGAAAACAGAAGGAGGAGGAAGAGAAGAAAGCTGCTGAAGAAAAAGCTAGAAAACAGAAGGAGGAGGAAGAGAAAAAAGCTGCAGAGGAAAAATCTAGAAAGCAAAAGGAGGAAGCAGAGCGAAAGGCTGCAGAGGAAAAAGCTAGAAAACAGAAGGAGGAGGAAGAGAAAAAAGCCGCCGAAGCAAAAGCCAAGAAGCAAAAAGAAGAAGAGAAAAAAGCAGCTGAGGATAAACTGAAAAAAGAGAAGGAAGAAGCAGAGAAAAAAGCTGCCGAAGAAAAAGCAAAGAAGCAAAAAGAAGAGGAAGAGAAAAAAGCAGCCGAAGAAAAAGCAAAGTTGAAGAAAAAAGAAGCGGAAGAGAAAAAAGCAGCTGAGGATAAACTGAAGAAAGAAAGGGAAGAAGCCGAGAAAAAAGCTGCTGAAGAAAAAGCAAAGAAGCAAAAAGAAGAGGAAGAGAAAAAAGCAGCTGAGGAAAGAACTAGGAAAGAAAAAGAAGAGGAGGAGAAAAAATCAGCGGAAGAAAAAGCAAAAAAGCAAAGAGAAGATGAGGAGAAAAAAGCAGCTGAGGCAAAGGCCAAACGACAGCAAGAAGAGAAGAAAGCTGCAGAAGAGGAAGTTAGGAAACAGAAGGAAGAAGAAGATAAAAAGAAGGCTGAAGCAAATGCCAAGAAGCAGAAAGAAGAAGAGGTAAAAGCAGCCGAAGCAAAAACAAAGAAACAAAAAGAAGAGGACGATCAAAAAGCCGCGGACGAGAAAGCAAGAAAACAGAAGGAAGAAGAGGATAAAAAGACAGCTGAAGTTAATGCTGAGAAGGAGAAGCAGGAGAGAAAAGTTGCTGAAGCAAAGGCTAGTAAAGAAAAAGAAGAGGAGGAGAAAAAAGCAACAGGAGCACAGGCTAAGAAAGAAAAAGAAGAGCTGAAGAAACTAGCAGCCGAAGAAGAAGCCAAGAAACAAAAGGAAGAGCAGGAGAAGAGGGTAGCTGATGACAAAGCCAAAATGGTTGAGGAAGAAAAAGAGAAAAAAGCTGTCGCTGAGAAGACCAGAAAACATAAGGAGGAAGAAGAGCTGAAGGATGTCGAGGAGAAACGTAGAAAGCAGAAAGAGGACGAAAAAAAGAAAATTACTGAAACAAAAACCTGCAATGTAAAAGAAGAAGAGAAAAATGCAGCTCTTCAAGAAGAAGTTAAGAAACAAGAAGCAGAAGAAAACAAAAAAGCTGCTGACGAAGGAAAAAAAAAAATTGAGGAGGATAAAATTTCTTCCGAGGAAGCCCTGAAAAGGAAAGAAGTACCTAGCAAGAAATCTGCTGCTGACGACAAGACAATTGACGATGACCAGGCCAAGAAGAAAACCATGGACGAAGAAAACGCGAAAAGGATCCGCGAAAAGGAAGAGAAAGCGAAGGAAGTCGGCCGCACGAAGTCTGAAGAGGAAGCAAAGAATGCCTCTGGAATATCGAAGAAAGCTTCGGAAAAAGGAAAAAAGGCGAAAAATGAAGAAGCGTCGATTGATGGGAAAGAATTAGCTGTAACACACGACGGGGAAATCGGGAAATCCGGAACTCGCGAAATCCAATCCGATTTGAAACGAAGGGAAGAAGCCCCGAAGGAAGAGAGCTCAACAGCGGAGTGTGTCATCAAAGACAGCCAGCTACAAGGAATCGTCCGGAAAGAGTCAAAGGCACCTGTTGATTCCCAAACCTTGAAAACCACAGAAAAAAGAATGCGGAGCTCGAGGAGGAGTTCGAAATCTGACAAAAGTCAATCGTCCGAAAAAAGCGAATCTGCGGATCCTCTTAGAGACGGCAGCATTAAATCACCTGTTATAAGCCGACACACTGGTGACGATCGAATTGGCGCCCCTTCTGAAAACATCCTCGAAAATTCGGTAAAGTTGACTTCAAAATCCGCCCATAAATAGAATATCTGAACGTTGAACTTCCTTTTTTAGAAAGACCTTTCAATCTACTCGAAGAGTGCACCCCAGGAACCGCTTACCCAAGAAACAGGAAAGGTTATCCAAGAAAAACTAAGTGAAGCTATAGAAAGTGCCAAGCAAGCCGCTGCAATCTCGACTGAAACTGGTAATATTAATAAATTGAATAGAGTAGAACGCTCATCAAAATCGTATTCACAATATCCTATTTGTATTTCACGGTTGCTACAAATTCAATCGGTTTGCTCCAAAGTTTCGAATCTAATGCATGGTCCCTTTGATAAAATTGCTGTCCAGAGTTTCTAAAGGCAAAAGTTTTTTGTTTCCTGTCGACGCCGGTCTATAAATTTTTTCACCTTCCGTTGGCAAAGGCCAATTCACGCGCACATAGAACCACAAAAACAATTTCATGTTCGATGTTTGCACTATAAGAGGTTACGAACGAACCCTATACACTTTGTTTTGCTTGCTTAGGCACGTAGTACGTCCGTTAGCGTTTAAAAGCTGTGCTACCGTTTGCTGCCAATTCTAAAACGTATATTGCCCCTCCCCCTCCCACAACCTCAGGTTTTCCAGCTAATGATGGATATATAATTCAGAATTTCAACCGAAAAATGTAGCAACAAAAAAGGTCATTGAGAAAACGGCAAAAATTTTTCATTCGAAAAAATGTTTTCCAGTATTTCCAGATATTTTCTCTCACTCTTCTGGAAACCCTATATGTACAAATGGATGTCCACTATCCAATCCCCAGAATTTTCCTAGGGAGACAATAATCGTTGCATTTAAAGCTTGCTGTTGTTCGGCACCTAGATTATTTTTAGATGATGACAGAATGTCTTTCATTTCCGGTAAATTCTTCCTCCTTCTCGGAACAGAAATTTAAAATGTTTTTGTTCATGACTAGATCTTTACACGTGCAACCCATTACCTGCCGTGAGCCCCATTTGGGACTCAGGAGGTTTTTGACCCCCAAAAATACCATCAAAACAAAAATTATGTAAAAATATGTGAAGGCTCTGCAGTGCAGTTATCTACAATTCAAGACCTCATTTGATTCTTTTTATCTTTTTTTTTAATTTACAGCAATATGTTTTCTGAAGCCAACTTTCAAATTCTGTTGGAAAGTTAAAACATGATTTTTTGAATGCATGAAAAGTACTTTCTAGTGCAGATAAATTCAAAATTTTGTATGTCCTTGTAGCATGGTTATTTTTCAATGCTTCAGCATATTTTATTTAATTTTCTCAAATTACTATCAATTACAACAAGTTCAAGAACCTTGATCCCCAAATGGGGCTCATGGCAGTTGGGGTGTAAACAAATAAATTTAAAATTGTCTTGAAAATTTGTCCAAAATGTTTCATATCTTGAATAAACCTAACTGCTGGGTTGAGCACACAAAAGTGATGATAAAAACATATTAAACAAAATTTCTTTGATTTTAAATAAATTTTTTCAATTTTTTTCTGTAATTGTAATAAATATTATTTTGTGATAAAATTTTTTGAAGATACCCCTAAGCTTTTGAACTTCATCTAACAGTTGAAAAATGCTAGCAAATTACTTGGTGTACAGCCTGGATGCTGTTCAATGAATTTTGTAGCTTTTACAAAAAAATAAATTTATTTTATAAACCTTTTAGTATTTTTTATAAATACTTAACGTAAGGATTACCGTAAGACCGTAGAGTTTACCTAGTCTTCTATACAAACGTCAGTGTAAATCGTATTGTATTATGTTAAATCGGTTTTTTTACAATTTTTTTTGCAATTTATAAGAGATTTTTCTTATCAGTATAAAAGGAGATGAGACCTGCCATGAGCCCCATTTGGGGATCAAACTTAAAATTCAAATGTTTGACAAAATTTTGAATGTAAAAATTAGAAAAAAATGTCCACAGCCTATCTACATGTAATTGAAGTGAAATGACACATAAATGGGCATGCAGGAAATTTGGCAGTTAATGGGTTTTCATGCACTTTTTTGGTCAGAGATTGACAACTGTATTATAATTTTACCTTTCTTATGCAAAAGCCAAAACGTTGCGGTTTCCAGAATAATACTTCAATGTTTTCGTATTTTTTAGCATAATCCTAAAAAATGAATAAAATGTAATTCGTATATTTTGATTACTAGCACACGTTTTCAAGGTTTAAAAGCAAAGTTTTTCTTTTCCTTGCTCAGCTGCTACAACTTTACTTTTGGTTACGTAGGAGTGTTTTTCCTAATTTTGCATTGTATCCCTTTGCCTTGGCAAGCATTTCAGAATGGCATGGCATACCTTTCTGAAATTCTCAGTACAGTACATGTTCTTCTGTTGGTCTCGCAGGAACATTCATTTCAAAAATAAGTGTTAAACTCAGTGGTTGTTCCCACTAGGCCTAGAAAAATAAAAACGCTCGCAGTCTCAACAGAAGTCTCAACATAAATAAAAGTTCTAAACTTCCTTCAGAGCTTAGCTGCAGAGTTTCGTCGAATGTAATCGATTTCCGTTTTTAATCATTGGCGAGATTTTAATATCTGGTAGGGGACATCATTCAATTAACCAGAAAATTTCACCACAAAAATCCGAATAAATTTGAGTATCACTGAATTTATATTCTTTAAACATGGAAGCAGTTCCTGCACCTGAAGACACGTCACGCAGCAAGAAAGTCGAATCAGAACCGATCGCCGCTCCAACACCATTTCAACGGGTAAGTCCTTTTTTAATCAATCCTGTGCTATGATTCCTGGAGAAAGCTTGAATAATGCTTAGTAAATTTTTTCAGAGGGATCCCAAGAAAAAACCGAGCTTTACACTCAAGCTTTCAGACCGCATGGTATCCGTTGGAACGAATCAGAAATTCACTTGTCAAATTTCGCTGGGCCTTCATGGGGACAATACCGGTCTGTAAGTAAAGTTTTTATTCACAATTTGAGTCACCAACAAGGGTGATCCGGATCTTTTTATTTTTGCGAGCGTCAGAGTTGTCTTCAGAGTTGTATTTATTTTCAAGATTTGAAGGAAGTCTCGAATCTTGCAGCGTTTCGTCGAATGTAATCGATTTCCGTTTTTAATCATTGGCGGGATTTTAATATTTGGTAGGGGACATCATTCAATTAACCAGAAAATTTCACCACAAAAACCCGAATACATTTGAGTATCACTGAATTTATATTCTTTAAACATGGAAGCAGTTCCTGCACCTGAAGCACGCAGCAAGAAAGTCGAATCAGAACCGATCGCCGCTCCAACACCATTTCAACGGGTAAGTCCTTTTTTAATCAATCCTGTGCTATGATTCCTGGAGAAAGCTTGAATAATGCTTAGTAAATTCTTTCAGAGGGATCCCAAGAAAAAACCGAGCTTTACACTCAAGCTTTCAGACCGCATGGTATCCGTTGGAACGAATCAGAAATTCACTTGTCAAATTTCGCTGGGCCTTCATGGGGACAATACCGGTCCAACGACCATCGAGTGGTCCAAAAACGGCTTTCCACTATCAACAAAGGAAGGGAAAATTTTCATGTCCTTCGAGGATGGCACTGCAGTTCTCGAAATACGAGATACCAGGTAAAATGCTTTTGAAGATTTAAAAAAATCATTAGGAAGCTGGAATCTCAGCAAACCGCTCAAATACAACTAATCTGAAACTCATGCTTCAGAAAATGAAAGTTTCGACCGATGTACTGAATTAGACGGTGAATGATTGAAACACAAAATGTTGATTTAGTTTGATGAAAATACGTGGATAAATAGGTTCTGACAAAATTTGCTGGCGACCGCTTTTAAGTGATGATTGATTTTCAAGATGTATTTTTCGGCAGTATTATTTTTTACATAGATAGGATAGTACTGCTGGTACAGACTATTGTAAGTATTCTGACGGTTTCATTACTCCGTAGTAAGAAAACAATCCCCCCCCCCCCCTTCCCCGAATGGAAATATCCATGATAAATGGAGCTTGAAGGGTTTCCCCTCCGTTCAAAGCTTGAGGTCATGAGGGAAACTTACCTTTGAAAAGTTATCTAAAATTGGCAGAAATTACATTAAGCTTCCTCAAAATTTCCCTGAATGACGTACCAATGTGAACGGAACGATTTTCACGGATTCAAGGGCTTCTTTTTCTTCCTTCTAATTGATTGAAAAATTTATGAGCATTCTGGATATCTTCTTTTTCGTACCGTGGATTACGAACGGGTCTTCACGCTGCACAGCAAAAGTTTAATTACTGTATACTGTATTTAGATTAGACAGTATAGATAATTTATAGTAGGTTATTTGACTCTCAATCGTTGAAATCATAGACAAGAAGACAACGGAGAGTACACCTGCCTGGCTGAAAATTACCATGGTCGTGCGTCAAGCTCGGCGAACTTACACGTTCGCGGAGATTTCGACACCAGAGGCACAGCGCCCACATTCTCTTCGCCGACTTTCAAAGGTACACAAATTTAAAGCACGAGCGTGTTCGATGCATAGAAGTGCTGTACTGAGCTGTTATTGGTCGGGATCCGGAACAGAAACTCGGGAAGGAGATAAATTGTTGCTGGAATGCACGGTGACGTCGAGGCCCATGCCGAGCATAAGTTGGCTGAAAGACGGCACTAAGCTTCCTTGCGGCACGATGGGTGGACTCGCCAGATACCAGTCATCGTCTAATTCAGGTTCAGCTGACGACTCTTACGTCTGCAAGCTTGCTATCAGGAACCCTGGTCCGTCGGACTCGGGCGTTTATTCCTGTCTAGCTCAAAATAGAATATACAAGGATGAAATTTCCACGCGGCTGAATATTAAACCACCTCCGTCAATGCATTCCGAAGGTCAGTTTACGCTTATGTGTCTTGAAAAAAAGGCGCGTTATCTTGGGACACACAATTATTTCGTTATATACAGTAGATGAAACGAGCTTTTATTTCTACCCAAGATGAATCCCTACGCTTGCATTGTGGCCGGTGGCCACAACTTACTCCTGCTAGTGCATTTTAGCATAAAATTAATTTAAACTGCATATACAAGCGCGAAAAACGTTCAAGAGATTGCATGAGCTGATTTCTGAAAAATTATCATACAGTACTTTTCCCCGTGTCGATCCAGTTATTACGTACAACATTCGGCAAATGATCATCGATTCGTTGTGGCTTTGTCCGACTCATCATATTAAGTTCTGGGCATCATATTGTGTCTTCCAATGTTGTTGGGAAACCGCAGGTATGCGCCGAATAATATTAAAACTAAATTATTAAAAACTAAAAAAACGAGCAACTACAATAGAACCACTTCTCAATGATAAACACCTTTCAAGGAAAACACCACCACCTAAAGAACAATGAAAACCAGAAACCAATTTCCGTTTTTCTCCTTCCTCTCACGAAGAATGAAACTCTAGACACATTCGCAATAAAAATTTTGGCATGATCTAAGTGTGTGAAATTATTCCAAATTTTAAGAAGAGTTCTGCTGAGTTGTTGTGTGTATCAAAAATTTCTTTGTGTTTTGAAACATTTGTTGGGACAATTTCAAAATACATTTAAAAACAATTTTAAGTAGGAAATCCTAAAAGGATTCCCGGCCTAGTCCCAGGCTGATTCTGTCTTTTATTTCTTGAAATTCAAACTTAAATTTATTCCTCACTTTTTGATCCACCAGTGAATTTATTTATATTTATGTTAAAGTAAGTTATTCCTTAACAAATGTCTCATCCAAATTCTTGAGCAATGCAATCCATCGCGCATATGGCGGGGATCCTTCTTTTTCCCAGCTTTGAGAGATAAAGTTTGAAATTCGTTTTGCATTCATGTTCGTGAAAATAATGAAAGCTATACAGGACCCGTACTCTTTGGATTGAGAGCGTCACATTTTTTGCAATTCTTGAAGGATGTTTCGTATGTACTGTATGTGCTAATGAAAACATTTGTCGCACATAAGTATTGTCCGCCATTTGAGAGGGAATTGGATACGCCGGGAGGAAAATTTTAAAGATTATGAAAATAAAAGTATATCCACGCGTACATGAAAAACACAGCTTTGGTTTGGTTTTGGTACTGTAGTAGAAATTTAAATGCCAGGGATATTATTTGCTGTAGTACTTAGTGATCAGTGAAGAAGGGTATGCAGTACTGAAATGAAACAACACTCGGTACCAAGAAATCGCGTCCGAAGAATCCTGTTTTTTATATTATCAACTTCGCGTCTCTCCTATTTTTTTCGGAATTTATCTCGTACCCTCCACTGAAGAGAAATAAATGAAGCGCAGACCGCATTTTCTAGTCATTACGACCCAACTACGAGTATTCCGAACACTGGTCGCACCAGAGGGTTGTTTAATTAGAAAATTAAAGATCGTTCAACGTGTTATCGGAACATTTTTCAGACGCCGATGCGTTCGACGATGAGCATAGCACACCTTCCGCAGTGCGATCGCCACCTCGATTCCTCACGCAATGTTTACCGGACAAGTATCTCAGTCTGGGCGATACGCTTGCATTGCACGTCCAAGTTCAAGGTGAAGTTTGCCTCGCGTCAGTGAGGTGGAAGCTGCGACTTTTTCCAGATCAGCATACATTATTCGTCTTTTTCCTTTTATAATGACATGCAGGGCACCCGAAGCCAGAAGTCATGTGGTACTTGAATAGCAGAGTGGTTCCGGAGCAGCGGAAAGTTAAGCGCATGTCTGTCGACGACTACGAAGAGGATGGCGCGAAGACGCGGTACATTTTCTCTCTGGTTGTCCACAACGTGACAGCTTCCGACATCGGGATTTATTCTTGCCGCGCTTCGAATTCCTACGGGATTGCGAGAGCGTCTTGCAACGTGCAATTCCGTGCCGGAGCAAAGCATGAGTCGCAAGCGTCCGTTTCGGAGCCGGAAGTCATCGAGGATTTCTTCGGAACTCCGCCAAAATTCTTGTCGATCCCCGAGGAAGTCATTTTTGTCGATCACGGGGAATCCTTGACGGTCAAGTGCAAAGTGAAAGGACAACCGCCGCCAACAAGTAAGTAGTCCTGGCGCTCATCTGTCGCGCGGGATGGCACATAAATACTGAGACTCAGGAATGGGTAAACAATTTTCTAATTATAGATTTCCATTCCACTTGACCAGGGTAAGCAGGTAATATATGTGAGCACAGTATATAAGCACTCATGTCGCTAAAGTGTAACCTACGTCTCATTGTTTCATCACCCTGGAAATGTGTTCAATTACGCATAATTTATTAAACACATCAATTTGAAGTAATTTGCAGGATAAAAATTTATTTTTTGATAAAAATCTGGACATTTTTACGACTCCGACTCCGTGTACATCACGTACACGTATATCAAGTACTGGTCAATACAATACTTGATATGGGTAATTTTCGAATTCCTTGGAAATTTGGGTGGTCAACTCTAGATTTAATGCAGTACTGTATATTACGCATGCTGCGACTATTTGATGCTAATTGGAATACATTTATAATTTACGTTTAAAATTCAAATTCAAGTGTTTAGGAACTCAATTTTTATTTTAATCGTGAATCCACCCTCGCCCTCGACACTGTTTCCACCCATTCCTCTTTGGAAAAAAGAAAACCCCCCCCGATGAGTGATGAAGCGTTATGTGTGCTTTGTCTGGGTCATACAAGAGCAGGTTTGCAAGTGAATCGGATAACTATCACGCAAAAATTATTTTAGATTGACAGACATTTTAATAAACGATCCTGAAATGTCCTTGAGTGACAAGATGATGTGAATGACAGATTTAACAGGATTTATTATTCGTCTTGAAACTTTACGACCAGCAATCTTCTTTTTTTTAACGTTTATTTAAAGTTCGCTGGCTGAAGGACGATAGAGATATAACGAAAAATGCCGCAATTATACCGTCACCGACTGGCGAAGAAGACGAAATACTTTTCTCGTTCCACATCGGCAAGGTAATCTGCGCGGATGGCGGTACTTACGCTTTGGAAGCTAGAAATTCCTGGGGTTGTTCCACAACTTACGTAACGGTCAGAGTAAGTCAGAAACCCTCAAATCTTCACCCAACTCTACCTACAAAGCCTACATTTCAACGCATTTCCCGGTATAGGTCCGAGAATTGCAGTGTCCTTGGGACAACAAGGGCGCATATCCGTTCGACGAACTGTACTGCAAGAAGTACTTCGGATCCTCTGGACATAAAATGCACGGACAATCAAGTGAGTTGATATTCAATTTTTATTTCACATGGACAAAGCTTTTTGAAAGGCACCGCTGACCTCGAAAAAGTGCAGTGCGAAAAATTGAAGAAATAATTCGAGCGTTCAATATTCATGAGAAAAAGTCGTCCTAAACAGATGATCTCTCGGAAGCTGCTCTTATTTACACCCCGGGAACATTTAAATTCTTCCCTAAGTTATGGGTGATGGCTGCCCCAGGAAGTACTACTGTTGGCAGGTTCACAGCTCGAAAGATAGTAGGGCATCACTCAAGAAGAAAGAAAGAAAGAAGAAAGGAGCGAGAGAAAACATTGGTGGGTCTCGTGTTGAAATCTATTTTTAAACGGATGTTGCTCGACGAGCTAAAGAACTTGGCACATCAGCAACCGTGAAGTTTTGAACGTTTTAAGCTGCTCTGTCCGGCAGTACAGCATTTTCAAACGCCGGCAACGCAGCGTGAAGGACATTCACATTGTCAAAATAACTCCGAAATCGTTCAAATTGTCCTATAGGGGCCTACACCTGTGTGGTATGCACGATTATATGGTTCGGAAAAAGTCTGTGACGAGGTGCCTACTCTAAAAGCAGAGCGAGAAAGACCCGCGATGGATTAAGTTTTAAAAAAACAAATAAAAGAAGGCCAGTCTGGAATCAACAGCAACCTTATGATTGAAAAACCTCCATCTTAATCCTTCCAAGTCCAAAATATGACGTGGAATGGAAAATGATCTCTACTTGGCGGAACAATATTTTACTCCGGGGATTATAGGCCAGCGACGGAGTTTGGCACCGTCAAGCTAACCAATTTCATCTTGGCACAATTTTTAAAGGTCGAGAAGTCAAAGAGACTGAGGATAATGACGTGCTTAAATATAGGGTCGTGTTATTTTTGGCTCCGTACTGTTATGACGATATACTGTAGTCCAAGAATTCAAATCGTAAAAAAAAGTTACACCTCATCCGCGTACCGTATCTTGCATTCAGCAGGTGGACTTGTATCCTGAACAGGTGATATATTCGCTGCTGGTTCTGGTGTAACACGAGTTCAGTTAATGCTGGTTCTATAAAAAAATTTCAGACCCGAAATGAGGACATCGCAACCTTCTTATTTCAGATACCTCCCAGTTTGCACAAGCCATGGCAGAATTTTCGTTCTATCTGCTCGGTACCGAGAACCATCAGCAAGATATGTACATTATACTACTGGTTTAAAAGCCTGGTTACACCACTTGCTTCAATCTGACAATCGTTAGCGTGTGATAAATCTTGGGTTCGAGCCATGTGCCCTGACCATGTTATGAATTGCTCTTTGGAAATGAACTTGTATCAAAGCTGCAATGAATTGAACCTATGCGTCATGAAGTAAGTGTACAACAGTGCTAGTATTTGTTCGAAAAGCTTCCGATTTACATCCGTCCGGTAAACATGAAATTGCGTCTTGTCTCAAGAGAGTAGGGAAAAAATTTAACGAATATCTCGAGTTGAACAACCTATGAAACCGTGCATTTCAACCTTTTATTCAATTTGCTAGCGTTAAAAAACCAAAACATTGCGCATTACCTCCAGGATACGAAGCATTATCTAAAAATGACTCAGATTAAGAATACAGCATACACCTGCTTCATGCCATCTCCTAATTTCAAGCATCGTTATCTTGACATCCAAATTTTTGCTGCCTTCTGGTTTCAATTCCATTATACTTTGAAACTAACGTGGTATTCGTTTGAAATACAACCTCAACACTTGACACAACCTGCGGATAACCTGGCTGAGGCCCACTCCATGACCTGACATTGTTCATGTGTACTACCAGCAGTATTATGCGCACTAAAAGTGAATAGCTGCGCACTAAAGTCCGGAGCAGCTCTTTTCAAAGTTTGTCTGCATTGCAGTACTTTCAAGACTTGGCCGTGTTTGCATACCATCTACTGTAGCTGGGCATTGATTTTCAATTTGATGCAAATAATCAGTATTTAGTTTATAATTATTTCTGTTTCCACCCGACGTATACATTCCTTCAGATTTTTTGTATTCGGGGGGTTGTGAATCCCTTTATTGCCTCAACTGATATATACTGCCCAATTTTCCTTCTTTCGTTTATCCTAGTGACTTTTGAATTCTTTCCCCTCCACTTCTTGCGACAAATAAATTCACCACGCCTCGAAAAGTGAAGCTCCGTGCTGCGAAAAGATATCGCGCACCCCTAATGGTACACGCATCACATGCTGGTAAAGCGGTGCTTTACAAGGCTTCAACCCGGCGTCACCGGCGTCGTCGAAGCAGCTAAGTTCGGTTAACTTAGGCCCATTCGACACACAGATCCTAAGTCCCAGCCGCGGCGGGTCAGGTAGGTACAGCGTCGAGGGTGCATGCGTTTAGGCCTCCACCCAATGTCGAGGCTACCGAGGAAAATATCACCTGTTGGGAAGGAGCAGCAGGGAGGGAAATCCACGCTCCGCTCGACACCACTCGAAACGGCGTTTCCGACGCCAGCACCACCTCACCCCGCGCGTCCGGTGGTGACAACGCTAGGCTCCCGCGGATGCTTAGCAGCGTTTCCGCGACACCACCACTAAAACTAGACGACGGATATCCGCGGATCAGAATGCTTCCGGTGGATCCCGGAATGTCTTCTGACCAAGATCCGTTTTCTGTCATGAGAAAAAACCTACGTGATCTGGTATCGCAGTGGTACCCTCGAATACATAGCATAGATTTCGTCTTATGACCCATTCGTCACTATCTGAAAAATACGACGAGATCTGTTCTTATAAGCAGTGGTAACTCGACTAAATAATTTCGATTCGCGCTGATGATGATTATTTCTTCGTGATCGAATTGAATAAAAACAAACCTTTTAATTTGGCTATCAAGTGCAGTGATACAGTACATTTAATTCCTTTTTAAATGAACTTTCAACCATGAAATACTGAAGTGCTTCGATTGGATTTCTACTTTCAAACCTTATTTAGCTTGATATGAGATGCATCGAAGTTTGAATCGTGGTTTACTATTCTTAAGAAACGAGATAGCTCATTCAAATCGCCAAAAGTGGAAGCGCGCGTGAAACACAAAGCTATATGTGATTTCATCTAAATGAAAGATAATGCAATATAACTACTATTATTTGGGCTAATGACTGGTAATAATCAAAGAGGGTTACGAATGTTAAAAAAAAATGTTTAAGCGATGAGACGAATTTAAGAATGATGGCATGTTTTTACTGCTGTAATATCGCTGGAAAGCTCTGACCGTGAACCTAGCTAATTATTTTTTCGGAGGAAAATACTGCAAAGGTGTTCAACTTACAATTTTGAGATGCATCTGGTGCTCTGCTTCCTCTGAACGAATCGACATTTGGCACTGCTAACTGGATTCCCGTTAGTTGGAGCTTGGATAAACAGGAGATCTACTGCACCATTTTCTGGCGTTGTTCGCATAACTTTGTATCATTTCGTCTGGGGCCCTTCTTCATAATGCATAACTGAATCCACAATCCCGACAATATCAAGAAGTTATTTGAAATTTCCTATCGATGCTTGTGAATTCGCCTATTTTGTCTTCTGGTTTACGAAACGGTCGGAAGATTTGATAAACAAACAAAAAAACTAGTTTTATGGGTACAAGTTCCGCGCGCGTGCTGAGCTTCAGTGTCGATTATGTGATCGTAGGATTACTTCAAATTCAGTTTCCCGTTTTTCATGTGTGTTCTTAATGGGACGTACTATACATCTACCTTCCGTGAACATTAAAGGAATCGCATGTTCTACCGGAGGTGAATCTCCCGATGTGAGCAGACTGGAGACAATCACAGGCTCGGACTGTCGCGCTGGTCTGCCTACGTGTGTCAGTGAAGTGCTTGTTGACGTGACAAAATGGTGTCCAGTGAACAGTTGGACATTAAAAAACTCCAAAGTGATATGCTCTCAACTTCCGTCATCCTACGTCTGAGGTGGTCGAAGCGTTTTCGCGAATCCGTGTATTTATCTTTGGTCCCGTTCAATCCGGAACAAGGTGAATCTTGTCACTGATTTCTCTCTCAAAGAATTCCGAGAGGCACTGTTTAAGCTGTCAATGACCCCCGTGTTTGTTGACGCGATTCGCTGAGAGACGCAGAATCAACACGTTCGAAACTTCATAAGAAATCATCGAGGGCGTAAATTTAGCTCCAGATCGAGTCCGTGATGGAGAACTTCCCCTAGTTTATGCTCGACAGTCACGCCAAATGCATTCTCGCGAAGACGCATGGTTATATGTGCGTCGAGATAACGGGAGGAATAACTTCCTCCAAAAACCTTTGAAGGGATAGAGTTGGCTTGAGTTTCCTATCATAATATATCGCTCGAAACTCGGGCTCCGGGTCCTGCTTTGTTTGCAGACGCGCTTGCCAAGCTGCCTTCCGAGCCATGCATCAAGGAAGTGGGCAAAACGTGGGTCTCGTTGACTTGGAGTCGGCCGGAACAGGACGGGGCCCCTCCCATCACTGCTTACAAGGTGGAGGCGAAACCGATGGGCGAGGAGAATTGGAAGGAGGTACGTTATTGTCGTCATCTTCCGGCCGCCTTCGCTTAGTCCTTCGCGCCGAATAGGATCCGAGTTGTTTTATTCAAGCGAATCATAGCACGACTGCGATTATCCGGACTGCGATCGATTATAACCCCCGCCCGAATTTGCATTCGTTGGCTTGCGTCCCCCTTAATTTTAAATTGATTCCTCCTATTGACGCTCGTATCGGGCTGACCTAACTCACAATTAGCGCGAATGCCATGAATAACTTCTGCCTTTTTTCTATCACTTTGTCTCCTCGTTGAGCAAAACTTTCCTCGAGTATTCAACTAGTACTAGACGACGTAGTTGATGATATCTAGGCAAGGGCCCTTGGCATTTAGCCCAGGAAATCGAAGTTCTACTTACCGTATTTACTCCAATATAAGACATTTCTAGCACAAAATATTCACGAAAAATAAACTTCCGTCATCGATGCGATTGCGTCTTACGTCTTCGTCGCGTCAAAGATATGCTGGCTTAGCACGTGATCACTTTTGAGTTTTGACCAATGAAATTCACGGAAGGCTTAAAGCGTAAAATCGGATTCATATACATGCACTTAACTGTACAGTATATCCAGTTATTATTTTCAGTTAAAAAAAAACATGTAAGAATATATTATTGTGGCAAGATTTCGAGAGATTCAGCTGGTGAAATAAGTAGAAGAATCAGTTCGCTCCTTTGATTTTGGAAATATTCAATCGAATGAGAGTGAATCTTATAGTAGTCCTTGAATTGGGGTTAGGGGGGGGGGGGTATATGATCAAGTGTCGTAATGGTGTCTTATGTCTGAGTAAATCTGTTTGGCGGCCCCATCTAGAACTCTGCGAGAATCTCGTATTTCTTTGATTTTTATCTGGCATTCCCAAAGACCTGCATGTTTCCTTATTACAAGCCTACGGAAAATTCACAGCATTTCACGACCTCTAAATAACAAAAACAAAAAGAAAAAATCAGTGTGGGCTTCATGGGAGCGTTCAACCTCCACCGACGCGATCTTGGAACTCTGCATGCCTTTCTGAATTGCTGTGCAAAGAGATTATGGCAGAGGGCCAGGAGATTTCCGCTGTCATACAAATTGTTCCGAGGAGTTTTGCGTCCGTGCGACAGCTGGTCCGAGTAGAAACCACTCATTCCATTTTCCTCGCTTCAATTCACGGCGTAGTCCACTGAAATCTGTCCGTGAAAAATGCGTAACCGGCCCGCTGTATCTCGCTTTCCCCTGATTACCTCCCATGTCGGAATCTTAATTAATCCGAGGCGTCCTTGGTTATTTTATGCATTCAAATCATGGGTAGAAGTACCTGTTGTCCCGGCGTCGGTGACACAGGGACAGGGTTTTTGGTTGGTTTCAACGTCGCAAGGCATTTTTGGATTGCAGGTGGGCCTATCAGCGAACATCCAGTACGACGCTTTCAATCTCAACCCAGAGAAAGAGTACATTTTCCGCGTCACGCCGAGGAATAAGTACGGATGGGGGGAGCCAGTGACGACATCGACACCCATTCAGCTTCTTGGCCCGTCGAGGCCTCGGCTGCCAGAGTTCGTGCGAATATTGCCCGGTCATTTCCGGGCCCTCGCCGGATACGCCTTGAAGTTGAAATGCCAGGTATGACGTTACAGGGGTTGCGGTATGATGATTTTCCTGAGCAAAGTTGACTACCTCTCGTCCAGTCAAATGTTGCTTAGATGAGCTATCGCGGTTGAGCGGCCGAATGACAGTTAGAAACGCCTTGTCGGACCATCAAACGCTGATATTTCTCTAGTTTCAAGTTTAGTAGTGGATAATTAAAGAAAATGGGTTCCTTCTATGGGACGCTTTTTCCCGGATAAAGTGCACATGAGACACGAATTCATGAGTTTCCCTACTAAAAAATGACGTAGCGTTAACATTTAACTTCTCCTCCAGAACCCATCGCTACTCCACGTGAACTTGCAGAAAAAAAGTTTTTACAAATGCCAAAAAAGCAAAAAAGGGAATCAAAAAATATTGTTATACCATATTTACGAATAACTAAAATTCAAATTTTTTGCTTGTTGAGTAACAGCTGCTGTAAATTTTCTGAGGAACGCGAGTTTGGCATGCGGCATATTGTCCTGTTAGTCATTGAGGGCATGGGTTGTCCGTTGTATGAGGGTTCATGTGGTGGGGGGGAGGGGGGACCACTCAGTACTTTAGTCGGAATCCTTCACAACAGAAAAACCGTCATTGGGAACGGGTTGTAGACTAAATCGTGGATCAGCCGCCAGTCCAAATGACCGAAAGACAATACAATGCATAAACAAATCTTATTAGTGCCTTGTTAACGGATCCTCGACACCAAAATGAAATAATGTCCCTGTTGAACGTCAGAACTCAATAGTGAAACTTTTTGTTGACAATTTTTTATATGTGTGCGTTTCAGAAATTAACTTGGCGATCAGTGGAGCGTTTTTCGTCATTCGACATGCGATATCCAGCAGTTGACCCGTGTTCATCAAAAATATCATCTGCCCAAAAAAAATAGATGTCGCTAGCAGCATAAAATAAGCCGAGATGTTCGAAATACAAACCAATGTGTCCATCTCTATTCGACATTTACTACTAAATCTGGAATTCTTGATCTCATATAATTTCGAAGCTAAAGATACTTCTGTGACCGAAATACACACGTTTGTATCAAGCTAATCTGAATAACCCCTTGAAATTCCATCACATGGTTCAAATGAGGTGGCCGTGTTTGGAACCAAACGTTCATATCCTTTTAGAAAATTAAAAAAAATTGCAGCAATTAGACGGCAGCTGTCAGAATTAGGATTTTTTCGGATTAATGTTAGTGCAGAAAATGTATTAATGCCCACCGAAATGTGATTGACTCACAGTATTTATGCATACTTTTTATGCAGTAATTACTTGCGATCGAATCAAGAAGTTCATGTGCCTAGTTTCGTTGATATTCATCGAATTTAGTCTTTTGGTTTTTAGAATTCGTTATCCAGCTTATCTTTTTGCTTATTTTAAAAATAATCTCCTTTGTTCTTGAAATCTTCACTGTATTCTTTTTCCCTGCTGAATCAATATGTCTCGAGCATCACTCTCAACTACTTCACACGTTCAAATTCCAAGAAAATTTTGAATCCATTGCTAACTTAAATGGTGTAGTTCCTGTTGAAGTTGGCTATTTGTTTAAGATTTCAGATTTAAACAAAATAAAACTGTCTCTTACTTCACATCAGATTATGAAAAGGAAAGCTCAAAAACTTTCCGCTCATGTCTTAAGCATTATTTCTGTATTTTATTTCCACTGACGTCAATGGTAGTTCCTGTTGCTAGGAAAAACATATATTTATGTTTTGATTAATTCTATACTCAGTCGTCAACCGCCTGCCGCTATTAATTAATATTCTTATTATTGCTGGCTACACTCCCTGGCGTCCCCCATCCACAATTCTTCCGATAATCCAGTAATTGCCATTCACTTCGAATGATCCCCGAGGCAAACTAAACATAATGCCAGCCATGATGTGCACTTTGAATTTTACTCCTTGTCCAAAACTGAGCGCCGAAGTGCTAACGATTCAGCGTGGTCGACCGTAACTTTCATGATTTAATTATACTTTGATGAGATGCTTTTGAGATGCATTCCTCGTATATAAACAAAAGTTACATAATGCGTGGATGGTTTTAAGCAGTGTCCCTCTTCACTTGTTGGTATTACCCGGATACTCCAGACTGATCTGGGATGTTTAGCACCAACATTTAACAACATCCTTTAGCTTTAAATTATTTGAAGCAATCGGTTGATGCTTTCGAAGTGCCAGACCCATCCAAGTGTGCAAGAAAGCGAACAAATTCGTATTCAAACTTTCGACAAAAAAAAATCAACGATCTTTTCAAAATCGTTTTTTAGACGCTTGCGTATTCATTAATCCGCTCAACTATATTTGTATTTCAATGCAGAAAACCAGATTTCAATCAAGATTTCTTCAAGAACAAGCATCAATAAATTCTGATCGACGTTGCGAGTACCGTATTTCCCAACTCCATGAATTTCATCTTCCAAAAAAAAAAAAATTACAATGACTTTTACACAACGGCAATAGCGTTTTCTAACCCAGCCCCTATAATCACCTCCAACCAGCAAAGTAAAATCTCAACAAATATTATCCATTTAGCACTAATGGATCCACTGGAAATCTAGAGCTTTGTAAATGCCCTTCAGATCTCCCAAAAGTATCATGTAAAATTCCCTCATATCTAAAAAGAAAAAGCAGATAAAAATATATACCAATAGCAAGAAAATTTCAATTAGAGTCGGATGTCCGTGGAAGCTCAAACTGTATCATTAAGCTTGAATTTACTGTATCATTATGCCATTTGATAAAGAATTATCTCGCGCAGGCGTTCTAGGAAATCAATTACTGAGAACCAACCACTCTTTTCTCCTCCCCCCCCCCCCCCCCCCCCCCCCCCCCCCCTCTTCTAGGAAATCAATTTCCGGAAACCAACCACTCTTTTCCCCCCCCCCCCCCCCCCCCTCCACCTCGATTTAGAAATCAATAATCCACGATTATCAATTTTCACGTTGGTTGAGCAAGACAAATTGCTTCCTTTGTTCACGCAAGGAAGTTACAAAACAAATAAGGAGGTAAAAAATAAGTTTAATTACTGTAATATAAATAGCACTTCATCTGCCGTCTCAAAAGACTGCTTCGCGATTATTTGGTTGATCGTTTTTATCGGGCAATTGTAAGCACATAATCCCTTCGCTATTTCCGTTCTGTGTGTGAACGAAAACACATGCTATGGTTAGGTGAAAGGGACCGCGGAGATTTCGTGGTATCACGAGAACACCAAGCTGGAGCCGGAAGCCGGAAAGGGTCGTGTGCGGACTGAGATCAACATGGACAACGTTCACACTCTAATCATCACGGACATCACTCGAGCCGAACGTGGAATGTACATGTGTGCCGCAGAAAATGCTGCTGGACGAGTGACAACCTACTGCCACGTCACAGTCGTGAATGATGCGTCTGAAGTCGATATTGACCCTTGGATGGATCCGGGTTATCCGCGGTAAGCCACGTACCAGTAGGACTTCTGCACGAAATAGGATATTCACAATTATTCAGTGGAGCATCCAAATTTTGCTGGAGAATTTCAAAGTTTAAACCTTGTAGGTGCCAGTCTTCTGCTTCCCTTCTTAAATTAATGAAGATACATGAAATAAAAAAAAATATTCAACCATTGTCTGTTCGAGAGCTGCTCAGATTTTTAGTCAGCAAGGTTGAAATGGTGATAATGCTGTACTGAGATTTGTAAGTGAATCCCATTATACTGTCCGTAATAAAACCCCCTACGGATGGTTTATGGATTTGCAACTTGTTCAAAATCTGTCCAATATTTTTAATATTTCAAAATGTGCTTTAAAAAGTTTTTCATCTGATAGCCGTGTTACAATAAAATGCATTTTCGTATCTTGGCAGCTTTTGTTCGGCATGAGGTGAAGGTTGCCCTAAAATTTGAATTCGTGCGCTAGAAGTTGCATAATTCAGGACTGCCATGGAAGAAAATTCTTGCCAGAGCCTTGCTTTAAACTAAAGTCTTTTCAATCCACCAATGATTTCGAGGATCCCGACACAGAAACTGGGTGCCCCATGAAATCCGTTTGAAGTCATTCACAAAAAGATCTGCACATGCGACTAATATTTTGCAATCATTTATTAGTCAACGCATTCAATAATTGCGCACTCTTCGCTTATGCCAGAAACATTCTCGTATTTTTCCCTAACTTTTCGGTAGTTACCTGCTTTCACGATTTTCCAGGTGCAGTTTTGTGGGTTGAATAGAATGTTCTTCATTACAATTTGTCTGAAATGTCTTGAATTTCAACAGAATTCTGAGAACTGTGAACGAGAAGCTTAGAAGCCCGGAGTTCACTATGCGATTGCGAACAAGACGGATTGAAGTGTCGTATCCTGTACGTTTGACCTGCCATGTCGACGGAAACCCGCTGCCCAGCGTAAACTGGTTCAAGGATGCAGAATTGATCGAAGCTGGTGGTACGATAACCCCTTCCCGGTCTTCTTTACTTGCCTATCCGAGAACGATAGCTTTTGATCGCTCCCAGTGGTCGTTAAAGCGGAATAATGATCAAACAATGTAGAGAGCCTGGATCTCGGGATGAACGCAATTAATTGGGATCGCAGCGAGTCCGGTTTAGCAGAAAGTCTTTGTCACCACTAAGGAATATGGGGAGACGAAAGGAGATGAGGCTGCACCCAGGACCGACAGAGTATAGTAAAACTCGTCTTCCGCGTACGCGGCGTCCTTCGTTCAGGTTTGCGGTGACCTGCGGAGATTTCCTCTTTTCGTCGCCGCTCCTGCCGTCTCATGGAGAGGTTTGAATATTCCGCTCATGCACGTGACTCCGGCTCCAAAGCAAACGCAACAACACCAAGACCTTTCAGTCTCCCCGATCTAAAGGCCATTCTCCGGCGCTATGTAAAAATTAGAGCTCGTTTCACGGATACGGGCATCGGAATTCCTCTCCTGTATGACCGTGCGCCCTACGCGGCACGCGAAAGCCTGCCCACGCGCCGCGCTCGCACGACGCTGTTTTCTCTTCCTTTTTTTTTCTCCCTTCTTGAATCTCTCAGTCTTGAATTTTCCTTTGTTTCGCGACGAAAGGGGTTCACGAGTACATTTTTTGACGTGAATGCGCGGTTGCGTTCCGTGGGCGACATGCCAAGTCGTCCCTGTCCAGCATCTCAATTCCCCGCGGAATCGTTGCGTTTTCGACCTTGCAGGGAGGTATAAGCTGTTGCAGGAAGGTGGATTCCACACTTTGGAAGTTACCAATGCACGCTACGAGGATGCCGGCTTGTTCAGCGTTCGTGCGATGAATACACACGGGGCGACGACGTGTCACGCGTCGCTCATTGTCGACGACGGATTGCACGCTTACGTCAGTCCCAAGTTTCTGGTTGATCTGGAAGATGTTTCCGTGGTTGAGGGCTCCAGTCTCGTCGTCGAAGCCGCCATCGAAGCTTACCCAGCTGCCGGGGTCACCTGGTAAGTTTACATTCCATCTCAAAGCACGTTCATATGGATGAATGGGAATGATGTGCATTCCCATGTACGATTTGTATGCTGCATCATACACAGTAGAGACCCAAGATGCGAATATTGTATAATTATACTGTGTCTTTCAACCTGTGTTCATTCGTCAGAACGTCTGCGTGTTGAACCACATTTTCGGTAGACTATAATGGAAACATATAATGGCAAAAGATAGAAGAAAACAGTAAAATGCTATTTTTACCTTCAAGACGCTGAAAAAAACTGCACGGAAGAAAACTGCATAGAATATGACCTTTTTACATATAAAGAGCCAAAGAGGCGAAAAAAGCGCAATGATGATATACTGTAAACTATTGATGGAAAAATGCATAAAGAAGCACAAAATTAGCCTATTCTGGAAAACACATTATATCAGTAACATTTAAAATTGGATTTATTTCGACAAGAGGTCTGAAATTGTTCGGGAGATAAACAAACGCTAGAAGTAAAAAATTATCATTTTCCTGGAAATTTAAGGGGAAGCATCCATTTCTTGAGACATTGCCCAGATGTCGGGACAGACACTGAATTTCAAGTGTCCATAAGTTGAATTTTATGCAGGTCGGAGTGTTACTGTATAAGTGCAAGACTTTATTGATTCTGACACGCATATACATATTTTCCTGAAAAAAAAAAATTTGCTGGCGAATCCAAGATGCAAAATAGCTTTCTTAACGAACTCTATAACACATCTATAATAACGAACTCTATTTTCGTGTGCAACTCTTCATAAAAACCGCGTTCGAATGCGGTTGTCAGACTACCGGCAGTTCAGAAATAATATCCGGATTTGATTATACTGCACCTTGAATCCTGTCGCGTATGTCTCAGGAATTGATAAATTATATCCACACGAATTGATTTGTAGAAGTCATAGTTCAAGTAACCCTCTGATTTTAGCTCAAAAGGTAAGATGCAGGGATCATTACACATATTGTCCGTATCAGATTGATTGAATTGCGTGGCGCAGACTCGTATCGGCGCGAGCAGCATTTACGAAAGAGAAATACAGTATTTTTCTTGGACTGGTCCGGTTCAAGGAATATTGCTCCAATTACTTGCAATCGCTACACTGAATAGACGTCGAGCGTAAAATCTTCTTGTCCTCAGTCAAAAAAGCTGTCCAATACGGCGTAGAAAGTTCCAAAGTTAATTGAAAAAGATGGACAGAAGATTACATTGTAATCTGAGCGTGAGGCATGGTAATTACTGAGGTATTGCATCTCTGGCATTAATATCAAAAGCATGGTCTCAATTAATGATTGGTATTGCAACGGAGAGGTATTTATTTTCAGTGGCCAGAAAAGTAATGCAGAGCTTTCGAGGACAAGCTGCGTTGTTGTGAAACTCAAATTGAGCCTCTGATTTCATCACGTTCAACTAGTGTATTTTAGTGTATTATCCTGAAACGTAATATTAAGAAGTATGGTGATTTTCTTTCGATTTGAATTGCTGTTGACTCGAAGAAAATTAACCCTCGATGACACGTGAAAAAAAACTTTACATGTCATCGGCTAATTTTGATGCAGGAAACCGCTGAGGCCATCCTCAGAGGCTCGAGAGAAGCGCAAAAATACGGTGGAATCTCAATATTCACCGAACTGTGCCTTGAAAATAATTTTTGAAAGTATTGGAAATCGGTTTTCTTGAAGTTTGGGCACAAAGACATCCTTGAACAGGTTGTCACGAACTGGACTTGTAATGATAATATTGCACATAATTTCTATCCGATAATTTTACATTTTACGTCACTCATTTTATTGATCTCCAATTTATATAAATTTCTATGTACACTTGCTGATTATCAGAGGAAAAAATTGGTCTAGATATTCGTCTTAGTGCGCTGTAGCTAATTATACGATGAAGTTAAATTCACAAATTCTAACCAGTTAAAGAGTATTGGTTAGTTTCAAGGTTTTTATTAGCATACAGATCAACTAATTTTATTGCAAGGTGAAATTGTACTGTATTTTGTAAACGCTAAAATTAAAATTGTAGTCCGTGTTTCCTTTCGAATGCAAATTGATCATTGCGTACACCAAATAAGCCTATTTTTGGGCACACTTCTGAATGCTGTACTGTACCATGAAAACTCTAATTATAATTCTGTATACCCTGATGAGAAAAAATCACTGAATAAATGGGAAGTTGACACAATCCTACATACATTTCATTCCTATTTCGACAAAAATAGGTGCCAAATAAAATCTGTCCTAATTCCAGCTATCTCTCTGACATTTTTCGCAGCAAGAATTCCATTGCAGAATACTTCCGATATATCTCGAAAATATTCGACGCAATTTTAAATCTCACTTCATGAAATGGCTTGTTTTATTCTACGGAAAAAGGAACTCATCCTCAAGAATTCCGGTAATTTTTGAGAACACATATCGTCGTAAGACCTCTTACTTTTGAGGAAACACACTAGGCACACGATTATTCGTAATTTTTAATTATCTTTCATGAGCATCCGGCAATTAGCTCGGATAAGAAGGACACCTCTATTTTTCCACAATGTCAAAAATCTGAAACAGTCAATCTTTTAGTGGAATGCGATCGTGCCGTGAAATCGCAGATCGGTTTCGGGGTTCGGCCGTCTCATCGATTAAGTATCACACCAGCTCGCTGTGGCGTAGAGAAAGAAATTGACCCTCTTTGATATCATGCTCGGACGTAGCTGCACATTTCTTTCTCCTTCCTGACCTGTAAATCATTAATCAAATGGGATTCGAAACCATTGTTCGTGAATCTGCGGAGCCTTTATGTTAAAAATACGCGTAAAATGATCCCGATTGCGGCAAAGTTCGACTGAGAAAGCCTGCCAGGACGTGGAAATACATTCCACGTATTTTACGACGTCCAAGGCTCGCAAGACTGAACGAATCGATTAAATAAATTCCCCCGAAGGAAGGGAAATCTTTCTCGGTGCCCATTCATGAATTCAGCGGATCGTCGAGGAAGCATTTTACGTCCGACCCTCCTAAAGCCTGGAACCGAATTTCAATCTCCATGTGTTGATTTATTTTTGTGGTATTACACGAAGCTGCTGGGGCTTACTGAATCGAGGTGAGAAAAAACGAACGATTCCTTTCGAATGACCAGAACGGGTGGCAAACGTCACTGTGGCGTTGTGCCGGAGAAAGCCCAAGTCTACGCATACTAATTTGACACCGGTGGTCTCTTTTTCGGCTCTCTTAAGCGGCTGAAGTATTCTACCGCCTTCACGGCTGATGGTCAGATGTAAAAGGAGTCGCGACGCGCTGATATGCGTCAACGTCAAACGCTTCTCTCGACCGGACAGCCGTGAATTGCGATCAGTTGATTTGAATGAAGTTCGAGTTGCATCTTGACCTGGTCCAGTGACTCTCTGATGATTTATTTTTCTTATTTGAAAGCAATTCATTAGAAGTATGCACAAGGGAGCGCGCTTTCCATCCCAATTTCTCCGAACATCCCCAGTGACGTTTGTGAGATTATCGTTGTACGAAGTAGATACCGGAAAAGCAAAGATATTAACTGGCATATTGCTTAACATTGAATAAGAATTGTATTTGCTTCACTCGTTCATCGAAGTTTCTTATGGGCCGCGATTACGAAGCTTGCAAATAATTGTTCTATCCTCCTGAAAATTGCTTAGTTCAATCCCCATCATAAGGCGTCATCGTACGTATTTTTCTAGAGCCTATAAAAAATCTAGCATAGAAAGGAAATTACACTGCTTTAAATAATAAATAAATAAATGAAATATTATTTTGTCCTGACTTCGTAGAAATGATGTCAGGACCCATCTTCCAACATACGATCCGAATAAAAAAGTGCTGTAGACCGATTTTAAAACTACATTAAACCGTGAGCGAAGCATGCAGAAACTCTTATTCTGCAATTGCTGGACTCTCTTAAACAAAAAAACGCAGGGTACCGGAAAAAATCGTTGTAGAGGAGCTTCGTTGTAGAGAACCCCTGCATGGGATGGGTAAAGAACCGCAATAGGAGAAAAAAGAATCGTTCGTCTACGACGATTTTCGTCAATGCGTTTACAGATACTGAATTTTCAAATTTCAACTCTGATCATCCCAATGAACTGAAACCATGACCTTGGACAATTTTCGAATGAAAATTGGATAAGCTTTAATACGTATTTTTTAACGTGGAAGCTCAAACCGTTCGTCAGATGAGTCTAATTGTTCTTTTCTTTTGTGGTTTCGCTCCATATACGGTATGCTGCAATACGAGCGCCTTGTACTGTATTGCATTGCACATCCCAGGGTATCGCAAGTTTCAGAGTTCCTTCGGTAACATCTGAAAGTTTTCTGGAGGGAGCGAGGTTAATAAGTCAATTAATTATTTTGGTTGGATGCAGTGGCCGGAAAGCATCGATGAATCAAATATCTTTTTGATGGCTTAATCGGGAATCAAGTTTGTGACCTGCGAGGAGTTGTGGAATTGCCAGCTGGTGAACCACGCCTTGCCTTCATTAAAGATTGTTGCACACACGAGCCACCAAGAAGACCGGAACCAGACATAGATCTCTTGCGGACACCCCCCCCCCCCCCCCCCCCCCCCCCCCCCCCCCCCCCCCCNCCCCCCCCCCCCCCCCCCCCCCCCCCCAGCCCTCTTTCCGTCTCGCGCCCCGTTGGCAGGAATCCAAATGCAGCCTGAATGTTCGTCAACAGCGTGAGTTCAAGCACGCGGCCACATGGAGAGCCAACTTCATACCATGCGTTCCCTTCGTCGGCATTCGGAAGCCTGGCATGGTGTGTGTTCCGTCCTTCTATCCTTAATCCCAACACACGTCGCAAGCACAGGGTAAACTATCCGAACAGGCCTCCTGTGATTCCCCGCCCGCGGAAGTAAGATAACCGCTGGTTAATCTCCTGTATTTGTTTCCATGGGATGAGGTAAGAAGCTACAACCAAAGACGGGTCAGAAAATATGTGCCGCAAAAAAAAAAAAAATCTAGTCCGAAAGGGCGGGGGATGGAGGATGGTTCATCCATTTAATGTAAATAAATCGACGAGCCGAGTCTGGGCTTGAAAGATGCGATCTCGTGCACAAATGGAAGATCTCTTCATGGGGCTCCATAATACTCAACAATTGAGTACAAACACAGGTGGTACCTCGCAATTCGACCTGCAGAGTGACTCAAAAGGTCAAATTTGATGTGGAAGGCATAGCATTTGACATTGTCCCGTAATTCGACCGCTTCACAATTTGACCCTTACTCAGCAACGGATTAGGGTAGAATTGCGGGGCACCACCTGTATATAAGAGTCTTTTAATACTGTATGTAGAAGATATTCGGCACTGTTATAATACAAAGAGATGTTTGCTGACTTGCTGTGTGAGTTTACTTTTCTTTCTTTCGGAAAAACTAAAGCTCTGAGCTTTCCCGTGCTTGGACGCGTTCGTTGTTGTGAAATAACAAATAAACATTCATTATCCCATTCGGTTGTATACGAAAATACAATTACGGAATGGGTATTCAAGGAGGGCAGAAAATGCTAAAATATGGGAGAAATAATTTTTTATACGTCCGCGAAACAGCCAGCGTTCGGCGCCTGGGGAAGATAAAGGGAAATATATTCCCCTTCTGGGACAACAGAACTTGTGGTTGGCCCGTGCTGGGAAATGTGAGAATATTAAAGGTATCCTCAGGACAAATAATTCCCTTTTGGGACTACTGAACTCGGATTTGGCACTTCGGAAATCCGTGGCGTACTCGGGAAAACTGATTTTCCGTCCAAACGTTGATGAGGGGTTTTTTTTCCCTTCTCAGGGAATCGATACTCTTGTCTCTTCTATATAAGTCAGAATGCATCAATAGTGGATGAATATCTCATTCTGATTTTCAATGAAAATACTGTACTGATCACCTTAGTGTACTCTCTTCTTCGTAGGAAGCTGGTCGTTTAGACTATTTAGAGCGTGCATCAAATCCTGGATATCCGCAACGCCTCTTTTTTTGTCAACTGTCCAGTCGTATTTTAGCACAAATTCAATAATCAAAGAAGTTCAAATTTCCCCGTGAAGTGTACTCTTTGCGGGCCTCGTAGCGCGTGGATAATCAAGTACGTGCTGTACTTGATTATTACAGCATATACATTGTGTTTCATGTCGTGACGAGTTTCTTTATCACGCGCCGTGCGAGCTTAAAATGAGTTCCTGTTACCTCCACAGTTTGCGTGATGGGCAGAGGCTGCGATTGAGCCGTCGCCACTGCCTGACCCTTGATCGCACCGGTCATCTATCATTCTCCGTGCGGAACGTTCGGCCTTCGGACGAGGGGAAGTATTCCTTCATCGTTTCTAATGTGATGGGCAAGACGATGCGAAGTGTCCGAGTTTTTGTAACACCTCGTCTGCCGTCTGAGGAAGCCGCCGAAATCGAAGGGTAAGCCTGTCAAGTTCACCTTTGTCTCAATCTCCCCCAAGGCGAGCTGTTATAGAGCTCACATTCGCGACTTCAACGCGACTCGAGCTCCACAGCTCGAAGACGCTAACAGCGGACTGTAAAGGCGACTCCCGATGCCAAGACTGGTACTTTTGATTGATGATGGCGTCGTGATGCAAGTCCATCAATCTTCTTCCATATTTTATTGAGTCCCCGCTACGCTGAGATCGACTTTGTGCATGAGATCATCATGTAACTTACAAAATGCATCAGGTCCTAGTTACTGCCTCCTCCCAACGATTTTCGTTTCCGGAATTTTTATGCAAGAGATCCCGAAGAGGGCCCAGGAAGAAATTTCCGTCCTACGCTTTTGATGCATACTGTAATTTTCAACACCTTAAAATAGCACTCATTTTCAGCCGGTTTCCACCAGATGGAGTCATGTACGTTTCAATGAAGCGCTTCAAAGACAAACTCATCAACGGAAGTTTATCGTCAGATCTATTATTGAGTTCCTGTGAGAAAAAAAATTTTTTTGCCTAAAATGGTACAGGATTTTCGAAGAGTTTCGCTACGGTTGGATGAGTATGCAAGGACAATGTTCCTCAGATGAAAATGTAATGTTGTAGGAAAAATCCAGGGTGATCCATGCTTTACCACCGCAAAAACGTGATTTTGCTATGTACGGGAGGGATCAACAAATGAGCACTAAATGTGTGCCTATATATAAAGAAGGTGGGACAGAGATGGAGAGCAGGAGAGGGCGAAAAAATCCTTCTACCGTTCGGTCTACAAATTTTTTACGCTTGGACGGGGGATAGACGGGATAAGAAATGTATTATGAATAAGTGATGGTAAATGGGAAAGATGAGGTATTTTACATTTCCAAGACAAGGATTATTTTCTATCTGAAGGAGTAAATACTGTACACGTATTTACTCGAGTACCAAGCGCACATTTTTTCTGCAAAATCAAGGCAGAAAAGCGGGGCGCGCGTGGTATGCGATTATCACTTTTTTGAAGCAAAAAATTATGAAATCACTGGTGCGAGTCATAAATGATTTAACTTTTTAGGTGCAAATAATGAACAGGAGTTTGGCTTAAATCCAGTTAAAATACTCTATAGAACTGTACAATACTGTATTACCGTATTATACCGTATACCGTATTTATTCATGGAATAATTAAGTTCGAAATTATAATTTGAGAAAAAACAGACGATTATCAACCAAGTAAAACTGAGGAGCACGTCTAATGCGAGGATAACATTTTGGGAAAATTTCAGGCAAAAAATAGAGAGGTGCGCGTCATACTCTAGGGCGCGTGATACTCGCGTAAATACGGGTAAAAGTAAGACCATTTTTGTCATCTTCAGAAAAACGATTCTTTTCTCTTATTTTTCTGTCGGAAAAGGCTTTTTGCGATGAAAAAAAATAAGAATGTGCCCTTTTTCCGAAGCAGCGAACTCACGTTGCTGAGATCATTTCCACTGTCTAGCAGCACATCTCACCTACCCCATCGTGCTCTGACACAGACATCATATTTATAATATACGCTATTAACTCTCAAGAATATTCGTTCTTAGTCCCATGGTGCAATAATCACCCTGTAAGTACATATATGTACGTCGTCGAAAATCCTGCGACACTGCGCCGATCAACTCGTTGGATAATTTGCAAAAAGTATTAAAAATCGTTTGAAGCGTCGCATCTGAAGGATTCCAAGCAACAGACTTTGTAAGACGCCACCTTGGGAACTCAGTCTGGAAAGGAAAACGTTTTTACCCCAACATTCGTTTTACGGCGAGCCATAAAGAGGATGAGCCACGGAACGACTCAGATATCTCGGCACTGTACGAATTCCGTTTCAAGGCCCGAGCTGCAGATTCGTTCCTCGCAATTTCGGATTACTCAGCAGGCAGACGGATTGCGCAATGAAATAACCCCCGGATTGCCATTTCACGAGCAGCGATGCATTCCCCGACGTGAACAGCACCAATACACAGAAATAACCCTGTGACGAAAAGTCGTGATTCTCTCGCAAACATTTCGCAACACTCTGCGCGCATATTCCCCTTCTCCGAGGATTGCGTCGAGAAGCGTCAAACCGAATTCGGCACTAGTGCGTGCTAACGTGAGGGAGAGAAAGAACATTGTGCTTTGTCAGAGCCAGGTAAGTGCGGGTTCGGACTGCGAGTTTCTCGGAGACTCGCGTGCTGGTTTGTGACAGCGCCGCGTCAGCATCGTCCGAGTTGCACAAAAGCCCGTGTAATTGCGATTCATTCATGTTTAACGCCGAACTCCGCTTCGTCGGATGCGAGCTAGGGATAATTTGCATCAGGCTGCGATTTGGGAAGGAGCCCGGCTGCTGAGTCACGCGATCAACCGCATTCCTGACGAAATGCTCTCGAGGAACCTTGTTGCATTCTTGCGAACACCCGCTTTCAAGTCCTCCGGGCCACTTGCTATTTCAACTCAATTCCAGCTGGTGAAAACGTGCTTAGGTGACAATTACTCTCTCAAATCCTCGGCCCATTCAGAGAAACCCTATGAAGCTCAGCGATTTGAAACAGATGTGTAATAATGCATTCTCTTAGATTTCATGAAAGATTACCTTATATGTCGAGGTATCTGGTGGGATTATATTGCAGTCAAGCAACATCATCAATCCAACTAGATAGGAAGGATGGATCATAGTAAAGATGTTATAAATTGTAACAAGGTCATCACGGAATGATGATCTGCTTAAATTATATTTTTTATTTTTCTTGGTATATCATACTTTTCTTTATCACTTTTGAGTGTCAGGTGACTTCTGAATTCTTTGGTTATGCTGATTTTGGAGTTCAAATCTTTTGACAATACCGTAATTCCGAAATTTACAGCATTCACCTCTTCTGAGTGATCGAACAATCGAGCCAGCTATTCGTTGGTGTTAGCTCTTCAAAGGTGCGAAAAACGAAACACATACAGTATAAAATACAAGGATTCTTTAATCAATTAGGCTGTCTTCAAAGTACAAATTGCATTCAATATAAACTTCGCCTTTGAGTAAAAGCTGAGGTAAAAACTACAAGATCAGACTCAAGTTAAAATATTTCATCAATACTATCCTAATTACGGTAACGTTTCCCTGCAAAAGGAAAAAAATGTCGTGGTGGTGCTTTATTCTTTTAATTCTCGTGATTTTACTATTTAGATTTTCTCCGTTGTCAAACGGATAGAAAAAAAGTTCCGTGATAACTGAAGTCCCTCGAAATTTAATAAATAATTTATTAATTCACGGGACGAGGACATTTTACCTCTTTTTTTTAAGCTCGTCCGGAGCAGAAAATAAGTCCTCTTCACTACGCTATCGTTAAAAATCTCTGCTATTACTCTTGTTCTATCTATTCTCAAAGCAATTTCCTTAATTCAGGGACGAATTACTAATTTTGTGTGAGTTATTTTTGCGTGGGAGTGTGTCCTCTTTCGTTCGAATTCTTCCTCTTTGCGGAAGTTCCCTCGGAATCTAAAAACAAACAATTAGATTACACTTCAAGGACTTCAAGGGATGAGTTACTAATGTCGTTTCTGTTCCTTTTGCGCAGAAGTGAATCCCCTTTCGCTTGGAGGGTATCATTAAATTTTAGCTTTCTCCCCGGGCTGTCCCCAGATAGCTATGTAAATTGCATGGGTACTGGTTCGGGTTGGCGAGGTATGTGCTCCTCTGCAGCCGGGTAATTTTCGAGATCAAATTGGGCCGTACTAATGGGCGCAGCGCTCGCGGGTCACTGCGGCTGTTATCACGAACGAGTCGCCCCGCGATTCTTGATGCATCACGGATGATTCCTCAATCAGCAGAGCAGCGCGATGTCCTCGCGACATTTTTTTCCGGTGGCGAAACGCGGAATTTATGACTTGAGTTTTGGCTAACCGACAGCGGTTCCCGGTCGGGTTAAGGAGCCTTCGATGCAAATCGCGGTCGTTTCACCTGCTGATGCGTAAATCAGGGAGCCGAGTCGTCGCATCTCGAGCCATCAGTTTACGTCCGAATGTATTCCAACACCGTTCGGCTGGGTCAAGGCTTTCGACGTTGACGATTCCCCGGCGAGAAGCAGATGGGTCCGCGACGCGGCGTGAATTGTTTCGAGAGACTGGACTGGGTCTTCTCGTCGCGGGATGGACGGATCGAGAACCGGGCCAGTAATCTGTAACTGTTAAAGATCTTCATGGCTTCTCATGTTTCATTGCTTGTTTCTAAAATCAGACCTGCCGAGCCATTAGTACCTGCTTTACAAAACCCGGTAACGAATGCTGGATGCGTGAAACCTTCCTGAGATCGTTGAGCAATTCCGAGTCTGCCGAAAGAGGCAAAAAACCGGACCGATCGATCGAAGAACGGGGTTTTCCGGATGATAATTCCAAGTACCTAACGGGTTCGTCGGCGAAATGAAGGATGTTTCTATAATCGTTGTCCTGATGGCACACAACGTCATTGACGAGGTCAGCTTTTTGGAATCCACACAGAAAAAAAAAGTGAGAAAAACCCGTAACTGCATAATGGGCGAAGGATAATCGGGTTGTTAGCCGACGTGCACCAAGTAGGAGCCTTGTGTATTGAACCTCGGCTGATTGCGGCCGGAAACCAAGCTTGATTATTCGTGGCAGTGAGACTCATTGTGGAGTGTTTCCATTCAAGCATGCCCAAAAATGTACACGCAGACCGCGAATGCGACTGCGTCGACCACAGAGGTCTGAGGGTCGTGGGATATACGAGGCAATTCGACATCCGTCGGAGAGTTCGGTGTCACTGAGATGACTCATCCGGAATTTTGTCGTTCAATCCGCCCTACACATCTGGAGCTCCTTGGGCAAACCGACCCTATAAAATTTTACGGTCTCATCATTTGGGTCTTATTCTTATGACCCACACGAGCTAATTCGGCGAATCACTCACATTTCCGCTTGACCAAGTTGCGTAAAAGCTGGTCCTGATATCTGGATGAGCCCGGCGATATCTGGTCGGGATAGCCGGGGATCCTTCAGTACTGTAGTTGTTCCCAAAATCCTGCCACGTTCATTATCGAAATCGAAGACAGACATTATCGAAATCGAGTAATGCAGTTGGATTCTCTGCGACGATTTGTTGTTAGCGCTAACATCTCAAAACTATTTTCCCCCAACTCGTAGTAGATATGAAGCAACCTCTCCGAAACCGCATTATTGAACTGCATAACGAACCATTTTGGCTTTCCGGGAATTGTTGCAGAAGTCGAAGCGTCCACCTGTACGAAGTTTGATTACTTCGGATGCACATTGAAACCCCTTTTACAATAGGCTTCCAGAAGAAGAACTTCACTAGAGTAATCGTGAAATGAGATACAGTTCTCACAGTGATTTTCGAAAGTTGCATTGATTTAATTCCATTTAAATATGTGCTGATGCTGACACATTTTCCCCAGGGCTCTATATGAAAGTCCAAGAAATGCAGTACAGTACAGTATTTACTAGGAAGCAGAACGACTTAATTTGGTAAAGATTAACTCAAAGTTTTTGTTTGTTCTGATATTCGACATTTTCTCGTGAAACGGTCCCTCAAAACTCAGTATACGGAATTTTCACTGCTTTTACAAGATTTACAGAAAATGGGCCGAAAAATGCGCGTGGGCTATCTGGAGATCACAGATTCTAAAAAGTTTGAAATATATTCAGGTAATCCACCGGTTTTCTCGTGTATACGGAATTTTCACTGCTTTTACAAGATTTACAGAAAATGGGCCGAAAAATGCGCGTGGGCTATCTGGAGATCACAGATTCTAAAAAGTTTGAAATATATTCAGGTAATCCACCGGTTTTCTCGCTACATTTGCCAATTATTTGTTAAATTTAAAAAAGAATTTCGTTGCCGATGCGGATTTTTTTCTTCAAATTATTGTACTGCTCAAAATCAGATTGCAGTACAAGTTAAGTTCATATTCACTTTCTCTCTGAAATTCTGTAAATACAGTGAAATATTGGGGGTGAATACGATAATTTCCGTTGTCGAATGAATTTAGCCTCGGATACATGAGTTTCGTGATACGAAAAAAAGTCAAGTGACGCAGTAAAGTTTGATGAGAATAACTGCCTCCCGCTGGGGAAAATGGACGTTCTTGCCGTTTTTTTCACAGAATTTTATTCTTTGCAATTCTTGTTTCGGTCGGATGCAAAATCTGCAAATTTTCCCCATTAGAGTGAGGTTTGGAGCAGATCGTTCGTGCGAACGGGTTAACGACGGGAACGTGTCCGCACGAGGAGGATCTAATGATCCTAATCTCATGGAATCTCATCGACAGGTCCGAAAACTTGAAGGGGGTGTAGCGCAGAACAGTGCCTTTTTAATGACGTTAAAGGGATTGAATCCCATGCTCAATTGTTCACGGCCACAACGTGTCGCCGCACAACGTTAACAGTCCGTGGGCGAATGATGGATAACACGCGGCGTCAAGCGGATTCTAATGAGTTTCTTAAGCGTTCCTTTCAAACCCGGATCTAAGAAGTAAGCGCGTTGCGTTGCGACCTGGCACTTTCTGGAGCCGCCCCTGTAGTACCTGGCGGACCAATGAATAAACGTACGAGCGCTCAAAAGAGCCTCTTTTTTCCGCTAATGTGAGGAGGAACGGTGGGATGATCGAACAGTTTTTAAATGGTTGTTGCGATTGAATGGCTCCATCAGGCACCTCGTGACGATGCCTTTACGGTTCGCTCTGACATTCACGGAAACTCTCCCGGTTTTCTTCTTCCGTATTCAAGTGCGCAGGCGAGATCGACGCCGCGCAGACGACGCATTTTTTTCCCCCATCCTCCTTGGGCCCCTGTGCAAAAGAACAGAGCGTTCCTTTGTTCCTCGTTGCCTGCGACGCATACTTGAGTGTGCAAGCTACCTCATCTTTCGCGAACCTGGTAGGGCCGCCAGCTGGTCTGCTCAAAGTCACATCTGTCGCATTGTAAACTCCGCTCGGGTCTCTAAACAGGCGCAAAACTGGCGCTGAGTGCCCACCGTTCACCAGCGAAATTGAAAAGACGCCAAGTGCTCGGGGGGGGGGCTTGTATCCAGGCCTTTTTTGTTTCGAATGTCGAAACCTCTGATGCGAGGCGATTCTGGGTCCGGGTCAGCTGGGCCGAATGGAGAACGAAGATGCCTACGTCGTGAACAAGGGATCTAAAACATGATGGTTCCAATCGCCTTCTCGGAGGCAAAATACTGTATACGTTGATAAAACGAAGAAGAGGAAATCCGACTGGACATTTTAACGCGGCGATTCATTTCCGCAGGGTTTTAAGTCAACCTGGAACGCTGTCGAAATCGGCATGTATGAGTTAAAACCATAAATATATTTGAGTCTCCTTCGGCATCAGGGAATAATTTACTGTACTGTACTGATTTTTCCGGTTTTCATTTGTAATCTTGGAAGCTCACTCGGAAAAAAATTCTCCTGGCGGATTTTGCATGAAGGAAAGTGTCGCTTTGAGGCCCTAAACATAAGAACCAGTACACGCTCCATGTATCATGCCATTCGCAATTTATTGTACGGAGTTAATTTATCATGTGGTTGTCGACTATAGACTCCGTCTAAAATTCCGATCACTTATTTATTACTTTGTTTACGTAATCTTCAAGGAAAAACTATTTTATCAAACTACGAAGAAAAAATAAGGTTGTATACGATCACGTCTGTTGAAAATTGCTCTGGTATTTTACACTTCACGCAACAGTTTTACATTATGCATTCACATAAAAGCTCGACGAATTGCTGAGTTTACTCCAGCATAAAACTCCTTCTATCCTTGAATCCTGCACATTATCTGTGTTATGCCTCAGTGCTAAAAACAAGTTTGCCTGCGATCTAAAACTATCATTCGATAATTATTTCCAAATCGGAGAATTTTTTAGTTTATCTCAATCTCAAGTGTTTTTGTGCCATAATTTTTAGTTTAATGCTTTCAAAGATTTGAAGACTTGATTGTACGCTGAAAAGTGCATTAATAGACAGAACTTGAAGAGAGATTCCCTAATATTGCGGTTCAGAAGTATCACACCTTGGTGACAAATGCTCGGGCTTCAGTATTTTACCGCTTTCTTGATGACCCCTTCACTGCTGCTGGGTATTAAGCAAATTCTTTTTTCAAGCGCAAAAAAACGATAGTGAGACACATTTAACATGCATTTTAGACTTTATTTACTGCTAATTTCGTAGATAAATTACTATGCACATGGACTTTCTCTGCAATGATCTTGCCTACAAGCTTTTTTTTTCTGTAAAACGTTTTTTTTTTTAGTCCCATAGGATTCTCATTTCCCTATCTTATAGGGGTTCTCTAAGACGAATTTTTCTCTGCAACGAATTTTTAGCGTCCTTTGAATTTAGTTTTGAGAGAGTCCGCCTGTATTTCGTCTTATTCTGGATGTCACGAAACCGGCGTGTTTTGGGTCTTCAAAAGTGTTTTTTTTTCCTTTGTGAATGGGTCTTGAGGCTGAGCACGAGGATTTCACCTCGATTTCGTCCGTTTTCATAATGCTTTCGTCGGAACGGATTTCCTGTTCCGAAATCTCCGTGTATCGCCGAGTATTTTCGCGGGCGTGAAATTCGCGCCGCGCTTCGCGGCCGCGGTGCGAAGTGGACTAGGCAGGTGACGTTCGCTGTGCGCCAGTAGCGCTCAGGGTCCAATTCTGCGTGGCAGGAGTCCATATTTTAGCTCCGGGAGTTCGCGTTACGCCCGCACTTCCCGGTGTAAATCAGCAATAGCGGGTGTGGAGTGATGCGCTGCGATTATTCTTCCAACCCAACCATCCGTGAATGATGCTTCCGCCGGAATAATTCATCACTGATCTGCGTGCACTCTGATTTATCACCCAGAGTTCCGACGGCACCGCATTTCTTGAAGAAACCCGTGTGTGCCGAGGCGTTTGAAGGCGACAGCGTAGTGCTCATCTGCGAAGTGGAAGGCAATCCTGCACCCACGGTCATCTGGGAACGAGATTTCCTAAACGTGAGTCCTGCATGCATTTCTGTACTTCCTGAATCTTGCGGGGTTTTAGACCGGAATTTGTTTTCTTTGGAAACTGCGCTGAAAAACTCGCTTTCGATGATGTGCCGCAGTGACAACAGATGTAGAAGGGGCTTGCTATTTTCGTGATCATATGGATGGAAAGACAGCAGTACGCGGGAGAAATCTAAAAAATCTATTCGGAAGGAAAGCACCGTGGAAATTCTCCAAATGGCGATTTTCTCGTCATTTTGTAGGGTTGTTTTTAGTATTGCAAGCGTTGATGACCGAGCCTGTTTAATTTGTACTTGAGTCTACGAAAACAAACGCAAGTACTGGTACTGTATTATTTTACGGGTGTATTAGCCGCATTTCTCCTATTTTGGGCTTTTTCGGACTGAGAAGATTTTTCAAATGAATTAATGCCTGTAGTAAAGACTGAAATACGCGAAGTGCGATGTTTTCGCGTGCTGCCCGTGACGAATTGGCTTGCCTGCAAAATTCACTTGAAAATTCGCTCACAATAATGTTGAGTATTCTTCATTGAAGCTCTCATCGCCTTTCCAACAATTGGGTCCTCTTGAAAGATCGTCTGTTCATTCAGATGATCCTTTTGTAAGACGAAGTCCATGGCATTGTGTGCCTCGGAAAGTTTTTCTCAGCAGGTCCTCATTTTAACCTGAATGACGAAGTGAAGCCAAATTATGCACGACCTGGGGTCTCTGCTCGTGTCAAAAACGGTGTCCGCATGATTGACGCTAAGGGGGAATGGTTTCTCAAAATTTATCGGACCAGCATATCGTTGACCCCAGGGTGGGCATGTTTAAAAAAATGTCTTTTTATTTTGAGTCAGTGCGCTTGAGCACCTCTTCCTGTGGTGCACCAAGATTCTATACAAACCAGGAACGTTCAGAAATCATCATAACCCTTAGCCGTGATTTGCTGTCCGTGCCTCCATTAAGGTGCAAAGGTTGAAGGTGAGATTCAGCAGCAGGCAGCTGCATTTTTTTTTTCTATTCAAGCCTCGACATACTGGAATCCATCGCGTCGGTGGATTTAAATTGCCTCGCGAAGCGAAAGAAAAGATGAACGATCTTCTGTAACGAAAGCTTTTCCACTCTCACCGAAGTCCTGTCCCTGGCAGAACCCACGTTGGTGTTAGCCGAGTTGACACTCGCCTACGTAAAAACCACGTAAATGTCGAAGGAATCAGATCGCACTGTCTAATGGCTTAATAAGATGTTCGCAAGCGAGTTATTGATTATCTACACTTTCCAGATGGGAACGATTTCTCGATTAATCGTTCATCATACTCGGAGAGTATGTTGATGAGAAATCGAGTTTTCGAGCTGATTTACGATCGTGACCATTGTTGCGATTGGTTTTGAGTTCGGTTCCGCGTTGCGTTGTCGTCTCTCATTCATCTCCGCCAACTCCGTTGCGCCAGAAGGGGTCAATTTTCGGTGACCAACGCCGCCGCGGATGAGTCGGAATATTGCCAAGCATATCGTAATTGAGTCACGCCGACATGCCGCCGTCGAACGCGATGCGACGGACTACGGCTTTTCTTCTTTTTTTTTAACGTTTTCAGAGTGGAATGTGGAGCAGCCGCGCGGATGCTCCCCGAGCATATCGCGTCTATTTCAACTGAGATGTTGTTGCGCTGCTCATGATTTATCGAGGATATTTACCCCGATATGAATCGGTACCGGGCTCAAAAGGTTCGCCGCCGCTCAGCCGTCATGCCTTGTGGCATCCGATGCCGGATTTTCTCCTCCTGCGAACCCGTTGCTTCCATGTGGACTCTATCGTATTTCGGTTAATTTGGTCGTAATTCTGTCAGGTCTGACATTCCCCGCGAACATCTCTCGTAGACCATTGCTTAACTCCGCCTCACTCAAGGGTTTCAATTGGAAATGGGAATTCCTTTATTTTTTCTCCGAAAGATCAAGCCGCATTTTACGACGATTCATAAACCGTTGAAATGACCCCTTCGTAAGAAATGTGGGTTTTATCTCCGGGTGCATTCAAAATCCACGTCAAAACACGACCCTCCTCATCGCCTGTTATCCCAAAACACTTCGAAACATCACACTTCAACGGCTTGAGGTTTGACAGGGCAGTCAGCCTCGGCTGATTTTGGACAAACCTTGATGCATTTGGTTAAAACTCACAGCGATTGTCGCTGTTCCCGCATGGCATATATTTTACTGTAACCCGCAATCCCCTTTCTTTAACAATGTTTTCGAAACTCAGGTGCGGCCTACGCGGTATTCGAGTAAGGGCTACACTAAAGATTCATTTATAAGGTACTGAATTTCTTAAAGGCTGCCTAAATGGCTAATGGCGCAGAGTTCGTCGAACATAAGTACAGTATAGACTAAGAAAATTGCTTTTTTAATGTAAGATCGATATTTAACTAAAATTCAACGGGTTCAGACAATGATGCACTGTGTCTGGCGGGGTATTTTCCATTTGATTTTGCTGGCTTTGTGCATATAGAGCATATGAAGAATTAATTTCTGCCTATACATTCCCCCTCAAAATCGATGATCCAAGATGGGGGATGCGGCCTGTAATCGCGGGTGGCCTACGATAGTTTGAATGCGGAATGAGCAATAGAATCCCAACTTTGGTAATTCTATGAAAAACATTAATCACTTGCATTTGAAATACAGTACAGTATCTGCAAATTGGTAGTGGCAAGGTGTTTCGGGTCAGAGGCCGAATTTTTAAAATCTCGGTTATTTCGCACAGTAGTAACAACTACAAAGAATTTTTCAACGAAACCATGCGCCATGCAACCCTTTTTTCAGGCCCCGGTGGATTGTAATTAATCTGCAGCTTCTTCGTTCAATATTTTTTTGCAACGAAATGTTTTCATAGCTGCCGAAGTATCGTTATCAGATACTTTATCGTAGTATTTAGTGTTGGGTTCTTTATTGTAGTACAGTACAGTATTTAGTCCAGAGGGCTACTCATGATCTTTGCAAGGGCCCCGTAAATGCTCACGAAAACGATACAGGGGAAATTGGATTAAATTGAAGACAAGGACTCGAGGTCTAGAAATGTATGACGAGTATCTGTATCCATATGCATGAATAGTATTAAGGATATTTTGTCGGTTTTAGCCTTGAATATTTACTTACAAGTCAAAGGAAATGTCTAAGGGGCTCCGTCAAAGAATTTAATCAACAGGGGCTCCGATGAAGAAATCGATTGTAAAAAGGGCTCCTCAGCTAAAAAAAAGATGAGATAAAAAAATGGGCAACTCGGCTTTATGACCGCCAGTGAAGCGGCGTAAACCCATTTACATCAATTACTGACAGGTCGGGAGTGGCGAGTTTCTTCATAACTGAAGTCGGGCTCTTTGATAGGAAATAAACATCGTCATAATACACGACTAAAAGAAGATCAGCTCATTATTAAATTACGATTAATCGCGGGGGTTGACGGTGCAATATTAAGGTGAATCACCAGAATTGGAACGGGTAAATGCAGCGTCGAGGAATGTATGAGCCGCCACTCAAAACCAAGAATTTGGAAAAATTAAAATTAGGCAGAAATGCGCGTGGGAGACCGGATCCGATTGCATAGCGAAGTGTAGCCTCATTTGTCGACATCGTACCGTGAGAAGAATACTTTGAAGGACGCAGAAAAATCTGGGGAATTCTGAGCCGACATCGTGGTTAGTTTCGAATACTGTACTGTATTACTTACAACAAACGGATCCAATTTGTCGTTCACGTCGCACTATTTTTATTTTTTTGCAACCCCGAAATAGCTTGAACAGGTTTCGATCGAAATACAATGATGTGCCTCTTTTGTCCGCAGAGTCCTGGAAGTTTTTGATTATAGCCACACCCCCGTGATGGGAAATAGGTCACTACAGTACAGTAACTTGAACCGAAGAAGGCTTAACTTGTATAGGAGTACAGATGCATACTGGAACAGAGTTTTGCGCGAACATTAAATTTACAAATGAATTTTTCGAAAGAAACCAGTTCTGTGAGCATACAAAAATCGTTTGCTGAATTAGAGGTCCATGAAGATAAATTATCCGTAAAATTCTTCTGGAACAGCGTTTTGCGCGAACATTAAATTTACAAATTGAATTTTTCGAAAGAAACCAGTTCTGTGAGCATACAAAAATCGTTTGCTGAATTAGAGGTCCATGAAGATAAATTATCCGTAAAATTCTCGAAATTTTAACAACATTCTTTACACTCAGGATAGAAACTCAGTTTCTTTCTCCGCTTAGCACAAACTGCAGTGTAATATAAGCAGGAAAATCAGTCAACTTTTTATAAGCCTTATTTATTTATTGCCGATTGTACAGTTCACACTCATCAATGGACCGCATTCAAGATGAGGCTGTGCTTATGGCCCGTTCGTGGCCTATAATTGCCTAAATACGGCCCTTGAGCGATCCTATTTCGGACTGATTCTGTGAGAAATATTCATCTGATATTGAATAAAATTTTTGGATTTCATAGTAAGTTACGCAGGGATTTTTAAATCCGTTGTTCTACAATTCTCGTAGTATCCTCTGTAATGTACTGCGATTCTTCGTACAAAGAAATATGCGCTATGCTAAGATTTATGTTCTGGTTACAGTGAAAATCACGAAAGAAAACGTTCCCTGAAGAACACTTGGTGTGTGGATTTAAACAATTTCTTGGACAGACGAAACTTTTTCGATGACGGGGAATGCTGTAAGATACGCGTGAAAATTAGAACTAGTATAACGTCGCGAAGACGGGAACATGTGCTTTGTGTCTGGAACAGAGTTTTGCGCGAACATTAAATTTACAAATGAATTTTTCGAAAGAAACCAGTTCTGCGAGCATACAAAAATCGTTTGCTGAATTAGAGGTCCATGAAGATAAATTATCCGTAAAATTCTTGAAATTTTAACAACATTCTTTACACTCAGGATAGAAACTCAGTTTCTTTCTCCGCTTGGCACAAACTGCAGTGTAATATAAGCAGGAAAATCAGTCAACTTTTTATAAGCCTTATTTATTTATTGCCGATTGTACAGTTCACACTCATCAATGGACCGCATTCAAGATGAGGCTGTGCTGATGGCCCGTTCGTGGCCTATAATTGCCTAAATACGGCCCTTGAGCGATCCTATTTCGAACTGATTCTGTGAGAAATATTCATCTGATATTGAATAAAATTTTTGGAGTTCATAGTAAGTTACGCAGGGATTTTTAAATCCGTTGTTCTACAATTCTTGTAGTATCCTCTGTACTGTACTGCGATTCTTCGTACAAAGAAATATGCGCTATGCTAAGATTTATGTTCTGGTTATAGTGAAAATCACGAAAGAAAACGTTCTCTGAAGAATTGAACCACACACCTAAATTTGTTAAAGAACCTGTCTGCTTTGAAAAAGCTACTGCCCCTTACGACATTCTATGCGCACTTTTAATCTTGATCATATTGCAGCGCTTCTGCCCTTGTACACGAAACACAAAAAAGTAACGTATATTAACGATAGCTTAAACAAAACACTAAGTTGATCGCCTTTGATTTTTGAATAGGTCAGACCGGGCAATGGCAAATGCATATATTGCCGAGATTCCTTGATGCCCGTACGAGGTCACATGGTTCATGCATTCAAGCCCAAAAACTCTCTGTCTCCGGAATAATAACTGCAGTGTTTTATTAGCTGTGCAAAGTTCAGTTTGTATACCTCAAGAGCACTTAATTAATGGCCTGACTTTCTCAACTTTAAGGGCCCCTTCTTTCGGAGCAGAATACCCAAGAAGACCCCAAAGACCTTCGTCGATTATTTAGTAGTAGAAGATCTCTGAAAGAGGTTTGATGAGAAAAAAGTTGTACAGTAATTGATTTGAATGACTGATGCTTTTGTGAGTCGTTCATTCAGAAGAGAAAATAGTTACTGGTATTGTGTACGATGCCAGTATCAAATTATTAAAATTCATGAAATGTAGCACGACAGGAAGACCGATTTAAGACGTTAACGCTGGGAAAGGTCACATATTTAACATCGCCACTTTTTCGTACGTACAGAATGAATTTATCCTTTTACAAAAAATCAATTTCAGGAAGCTCACTGTAGCACGACAGGAAGACCGATTTAAGACGTTAACGCTGGGAAAGGTCACATATTTAACATCGCCACTTTTTCGTACGTACAGAATGAATTTATCATTTTACAAAAAATCAATTTCAGGAAGCTCACAAGAAACTTCCTGGGCTCAGGTATCCGATGAGCTGACATGTTGATACATGTTACGGAATGTGTTGGAACTTTTGATGTTTTTAATCTTCGTTTGAAAGATCAAAATTTTAGAATCCAAGTTCATTTCCTCAGCTTCCGAAGGTCCTCGCTGCAAACATCAATGAACTGGAAATGTTTGTTGTAAAATTCTGACATGAGATTTTTTTTTCATGAATGCACTAGCGAATCTTCTGGCCCAAACACCCTTCTGAATTGTGCTATGATTTCTAATTAAAGAATTGGAGTTAATAATTCTTAGATTTCTTCTAATTAGTATAGTTGGATTGCCTTTGCAATGCGAAAGATACAAAACCGTATTTTTAAGCCAAGTGTAATTGATGCTCCAGTGACTTTTGGCACATATTGGATGTCTTGATTTGAAACCGAAATTTGTATCCAGAATTTAGTTGGATTGCCTTTGCAATGCGAAAGATACAAAACCGTATTTTTAAGCCAAGTGTAATTGATGCTCCAGTGACTTTTGGCACATATTGGATGTCTTGATTTGAAACCGAAATTTGTATCCAGAATCAGCTGTTGATAACAATGTTGCTTTACACCCACTCAACTCCCACTCAGACGACGAAACCTCTTTTTGGAAATCTCCCGAGGAAAACCCCGAATATCACAATCTTTCAGTCACATGTTGAAGTAACACGCCTACTTAAAGACGGAGATTCCCTGTGTGTGGGGGCGAACGCTATTTTCTTCAAAAAACGGCATTTTTCATAGATCTTCAAGATGGATACCAACGCATCCAGCATCTAATGAGCTTTTTCTTTGAGTATATATAGTCAGAGCATGGCGTAGTTTTAAAATGTCGATCGTGGAGATACTGACTAATTTTGGGCTCTCTGTCAGATGATCTCGGAACTCGCATGTTTCCTGCTTAAGCCGGATACGCAATGAATATACGAATAAAATATTGCCCGAGAATTATCTTGATTATCCCACGGGGTATTGAGGTGCCATCCCGTAACTCACAAGCGTACCGTTCTCCTTTTGGATAGCACGGCTCTAACGCGGCCGTGATGACCTACAAAACGGTGCCCGGATTTTTAGGCCCCGGCTTTAACGTGCAAGAATGTTGTGAACCTCTTGCAAAGGTTCTTGTCCGGCAGATCGAATTAATGCTGATGCGAGTACGACGCAGCTTGAAATCCTACTGGGTTAGAAATTCATCAAGGGAGCCGCGGGAGTTCTGCGATTGTATCTTCTCAACTTGCGGTATTTCATAGAGCCGCGAGGTCTTTGTATCATGGACGTCGAAATTACGTTGCTCATTTTATTTATTACTAATATGACGCAGTGTTTACAAAAATGTTAATCTGTGGACAAAGTAAAGATGGAGATGAGAGCTCAAAACGGAACTTCTCGCATTGATATTCGATTTGTTTTCGTTTTCCGACCTTTTGACGCACATGGAAATTTATTGCAAATACGACATTATAACATAACACTTCGAAAACAAGCTTTTACATGCAAGGATAAGATAATTAACCCAGTTATATTAACCTTTTGAAAAATGAAATAATGTTTTATATGGGTAGCGTCGAAACTAATGATAACTTGGATCGCAATACTGTATTCCTCGGGAAAATGGAACAATCTTCATGAACAATTTTTCTCATTTACTATACCAACAATAATAATAAGTGAGGGTAAGCAAAAATAAGTACTATATTTGTTGATATAACAGATACTCCGAGGATTAATAAATATGAGGTATTTTACGGTAATACGGCATAAGCAGACAAATTCCGTATTATTATGTTTTATTGAATGCGTCTTATACTAGGAAAGCTGCAGTCTGTCTTTGCCGGAATCTTCCTCTTTTTCTCTGCCATCCTGGCTAATTCAGAATGAGTGAAAGCCACGTGGAACTTGGACAACCCTCACACGATCCACTTCAATCCTCGTGATAAAAGACAACGAAACTTTCCCTGCGTTTTTGTTGTTTTCAAAATGTGGGTTATAGCCATTCGTCCGAAGCGACAACAGTCGCACTATAAAATTTGATGCCGTCTATAAAGAAGAGCTGAATGAACTGTTGTGTGCAGTAGTTTTTGTTACATTACTGTAACTTCAATCGCTCATGAGATACTGATGCTTAGGGATCGGTTTACTTTACTGTATCTCGTAAACTACGTGATCCTGCGTACGAATACGGAATCTTCTGCAGTATGTATAATAAAATTACTATAATACGTGCCATTCGAATTTGTTGCATTTTACTCGTTTATTTACACGTGTCGACGCAGTGCAGCATTTTTTGAATATACTTACGTTCCGCGTTGCAGCCTCTTTAAGCGTAGAAAACAGAAAACACCATTACGTATGTACACTTGTCTTATGCGTTTGTCGACTGTTCGTTTTCCCAAACGTAGCCGGAACAAGAACCGCATCCCTGAGGCAGGACAAACAAACCTCGGCTGGTTGGCGCTTTGCTTTTCGGGGACTCGGGAGCGGCGAGGCGGCGCCGGTTGCGTCGCCGAACCCGCCAGTTCATGCGTCTCCATCGAGATCACTGATCGAGATTTTATGGAGAGTGCATGGAGAGGTATGGAGGGTCGGGATTTACGGGACAGTCGTGTGTGAAGTGACAGTGACAAATCTTGCGGAGTCGACGTTGTCGCACTCCTACCTTCCGGATACTGATGGATTTCAGTCCGGCTCGGATTCCGCGGGGTTTATGAGTCCGCCTCGATCGGGCTTCGACGAGGCCGATCGGCGACTGTCACCTAGCTGGTATCACTTTCCGGCTTCCTTCAAATGAGGACGAGAGAAGGCCCGGGTCCGCGAAGATCGCGCGCCGGAGAGCGAGTCACACACATGTCGCAATGCTAGATCCGGACTTGAGAGTTCTGGCTGCGAGCGACCAGATCCGAAAGTGAGGCGGCCGTGAGGATGGTGGCACGGCTAGTAGTTAGTAAGAGGTGACAGGTGGAACAGTCGGCTGCGGCCAACACGTGCCGGCTCCGCGTGGCCCAGCTCTCGTCGACGATGCCTGGCCATCCAGTCGAATTCCGTTTAAGCTCTATTTGCTTCTTTCCGATGCGCCAGACAACACAACCCCGGCTTTCGATCGCATTTTGATTTCTCTCGAGTGCCCCTCTGAAACAGTGAATCGGCGCAAAGCGGACTCCGACTCTACAAGCGCGTTCGAAAAAAAATGGACTGTTTCTCATTTGGTATCTCGACCAGGCAGTGAAGCAGTTTGTCCAAATAATGGCGATTTGAAGATTCGGAAGCCTTGTGAGTACCATCTAATTTGCATCGGACTCTCGTGGAATCCTTAGTGTATCTTTTTTTTCAATTTTCAATCGATACTTGCATGTAGAATTATAAAAAAAACCTGAATTTGCATAACCTTTAGTATTGCCAGGGCACGCGTCAAATCTCATTGAATTTTCAAGCGGCTAAGGCGAAAATTTATTTCGTCAGGTATAGATTAATGAATAAAAATTTTGAAAATTTCCAACCATCATTGGAACATTGTGTAAATGTGCAGATTGTTTGGACGTGAGAATTATGGAGCTTCATATGTTTCCAATTCAATCCCGCATGTAGTACAGTACTGTGAATGCATTTTCTGCTTATGGGAGCGTTTTCTTTTATTCTGATACTAGCAGACAGACGTGTTTCTTGATGGACTTGAGATTGCTTTGCGTCATAAACTTGCTCGTATACGCACGCTCGTATTCGCAAGTAACTCAAATCCTCGATCAGTTGTAGCTTTCGTAACATCTCTATTCCATCAAGGCAGCGATTAGGTGCTTCAAGGTAATAAAGTTTGTGACGAGACTTTAAAAGGTGGATAACAGCTTAGTCCGGGATGTTGAGTACGTAGAGACGGAGGTTTCAGACGCTTGTCAGCCGCAAAGTTGCTGTGTTATCCTGTCTCGAGGGGAACTACTGGACTTCTCACCGAGAAGACGAGAACAAATTCTTCGTCTTAAGAAAAGAAAATTCAACGTCTGCGCGATCGTCGACTCTTCATTGAAGAAATGGGAATTTTAAACGAAGATAATTTGAAGCCAAACGGTTTTTCAGCGATACTTTCTTGACAATTCCTTTGATTATTGTGCGGATATCTTTGAAATCCGTAATATGTGGTTTTTTATTCGTGATGGCCAGTCGTTTTATTATACATAACCGAAGAGCATGCAGATGAAAAATGCGTCAAAATTCAAGAGCTAATACTTTTAGATTGCCCTGACTATGACTAAAAAATCAGAATAATTTTTCAAGTATCATTTTGAAAATTCGCAGGAGGAGTTGGGAATTTTGAAATAAAAGCTTTCCAATAGGGGCAGGATACAGTACTGTATTTTAACTACTGTATTGATTCCGCCGCTCTTAATGTTTTGCAACGTCTCCAAAGATATAAACTCAAAAGCACTGAATTTAATATTTCTTGCAGGGATTCAAAGAAGATCTCTGTTGTCTTCCTGCAAGGCTTTCTTGTCTGCAGACATTTTAAGTTGGGCATGATTAACCTTGCAACGCGCTTATGAATAGCCTTCATTGTACTAAAAACGACGGATTTTCGCGTGACTGCGCGAACATGCCATAAACAGGGGCATATGGGGTCAATTCGAAGTATGATACACGAGTCGAGATTTCGAAGTTACCCGGGGTGATTTCAAAAGAATGCAAGATTTTTATTCAACTGTTGTGAGTGATTCACTATACGCGTCAGCGGCTAAATCACACACCAATTTTTCCTTCGTTTATTTGAATCTCGCATGAAAATTTGAATTAAATTACGTGAACTGTGATCCAGTAAATTTAAAATGCTGTATTGCATTAGGGTTGCTTAAAATATTTTGTCAGTCAAATGATTTCCTCGTTACTATGGGGCTTGTTGGATGAACGGCGACGGATAACATTTTTTACTGAATATTCATCTTGTCACTTCCCGTGCCTCTGTTAAAATTTTGATTAACCCTAGGTTAAATAAATACAAGACTAGGCATTCACTTGAACCCCATAATTGTTAGGAAGTGAGATTCAGCAGCCAATTTTTGTGATATATGAATTTTTCTACTACAGTACCTATAAGAACGACGGACATTTCAAGTAATCGTGTAAAATCGCAGTGAGAGTTTCACGGAACTGACAACCATTAACCTGAGAAAAATGTTTTCTAATATTGTACAGGTGGTATCAATTTCTGTGTTTGGGATGCTGATATTCCCTGAATTGTCAACTGGAAAGCAAAAAGCTGTCGAAGGCAGGCGGGTAATCAAGGAGAACCCATGACAAATGGGGGGAGAGCTTTCTACATATATATCACCGTCGGGATTGATTCCACAGTACTTGTACGAGACTGAACGGGATTCTGACCAAGTTTTTTACTAGCTCGAGAACTTTAAAGGCACAGCCAAAAATTTTCAAGCATCCCTTGTGTAATTTTTCCGAATACAAAATCGGATCAAAGAAAATCTACCTGATCGCAGAAATATTTTCCGTCCGTGAAAGTGCATAAAAAATAAGTTTCGTTTCGAACATACGATTATCGATTTAATTTTTTCTCAGTTTTCCTCTTTATTTTCCAAATACAGACGGAAGAATCTGCCTGAGAGTCCTTTGAGAACGATACATCCTGCCGCTGTTTTTCTTCGATCCGTTGTTGATTTCTGACGCCCGCATACGTCATTTCTGAACGAGAGCTCGCCTTGATGACCGAGTGTTATTGTAACTGCTTTGAGGGAAAACACACTTGTGGACGAATGACTTGCACAAAGATTTCGATTGTGATGCAGCGGGGTACGAAGCGAGCGCCTGAGGTTCAAGGTTGGGGACTCGTTCCGGATATTCTTCCTTCCGTTTGTCGGACGCTTGCCATACGTGGCACGCACGACACAGACTGGCGACAGAATAGGACATGTCAAGCTCGGGATAGTATTTTTATCCTACGATCTGAGTCCGATCTCGTGCCGGTTTCCCGATGAGTCACCAAAAAATTCATCGCTCGGACGAAACCTCTTGAGCGTCTCGGGGCTTGCAAGTTATCTCGGGTCGCACATTGAAGCATTATAGCAAAGATAGCTTCGTCTCCAAACAATCTGATTGAACGATTATATGTATTTTCCGTGCTGCATCTACAATGCTTATGACTTCTGAGGCGAAGAGATATGAGAACGATGGAACTTGATGTTATAAGTACAATACCTTTCATCGGCACCAAATCTCTCTCCTTCTTTTATGCGTTCTAGACCTTACTGACCGTTTGAAACCTTATAATTTTGCCTGAATTTTAACATTTTTCCCCAGAAAATGAAACATTTTTCGAGGGAAGGTTGAATACTTTTTGCGAATTTTTATATAGGGTATCTATGACTCAATGTCTTGACTGTATCGTTGCTAAGATTTTCTTCACGACGAAGAAAATCGTGCGTTCGAATCTCATGCTAGAATTATTGTAACTTGTATTGAGGATAGCTCTTTTTTTCTTAGCATTCCAAAGTATAAAGCAAAAATTCAAAACCGAATGCATCTCTAAAAAATTTTTAAACTCGAAAACCCTTGCTCTTATATAGGAGCAGATTAGTGTACAGAATTTTTGTCCAGTTATATACTGAGATACAGTATTTATTTTTGAATTATTCTGTAAGTTTCATCTACATCAATCTTTAAACTGCGAAGAAAGGAGTGCGTATCTTTTCTTGATAGATCTTCTCACTTGATAGATTCTCTCGAACATTTTCGAGGACGAAAGAGCAGTTTGAAAACGTACAAAACTTCTGAAAATTAGATTGCTCGCTTGGAAAGTTTGTGCAATTACGATAGATTCATACTGAGCAATTGTTTTATGGGACAAAAAGCGACAATCACGTACGGTAGTTGAGAAGATTCGATTCAATTTCAGTCGTGCGCCGCCAGCAACCGTACGAAGTGAACAATTGATGCGTTTGTCCTTTGCTCCCGTCATTCAGTTGACAAATGTTCCGTTCGCATGGTGACTCTCTATCTCCTCTCTTTCAGACGTCCAGAACAATTCCGAGAAAATCCAGAACTAATACTAGAATTGGCCAATTTTATCATTTTCCGCGGCGTTTCGTGTCTCGAGTCTGGCATTGAGGTCCTTCTCCGATTCCATTCCAGTAATTTCCTGAAGTACTATACTCTTATTACCGGTTAAAATTGCTCCGCCTTACAGTGTTATAAAAATATCTACAGTATTTTTTTTAAACCTGTATCGGCCATATAGACTTCATGTTTTTATTGTGTTGGATTGAAACTTACGCTGTCAAATGGTGATGCATAAATTTTCACGAATAAGTCATGAACTTAAAAAAAAATACGAGAATCAATTCAATATTTTAATATCAAGTTACGCTTGTAGGGATATAAATACTGTACAGTATCTGATCACTTTTTTCCATCAGCGAACTTGGTATGGTGAAGACAACTGAAATATTTTGACTTCATTTCATTAACACGACATAATCAGACGTTAAATTACTGTACCAGCTGATACTGAACCTGAGAGACCTTACCTCATAGTTAATTCCAAGTGCAGTAAGGTATGACGTTTTTAGATAATCAAAGTGCTTCCTTGAATACTAATCAGTCAGATAAACTACGACGTGAGCTTGTGCGAGATCCAGAATTTGATGCCGTCTCGCTAAGGTTTTTAGCGCTAACAATATATCTGGAAAATATTGTGAAATACTAGGGATGGAATTTACCTAAAATCTGTTCACTTTGTCTCAAATCAACATATTGAACTTTGAACCCAGAATAAAATAAGACTCTTGCTGCATTTGC